TAAGAGAGCTACTGTAGAGAGCTACTGTAGGAGAGCTAATGTAGAGAGCTACTGTCATAGAGCTAGTGTAGGAGAGCTACTGTAGAGAGCTACCGTAAGAGAGCTACTGTCATAGAGCTAATGTAGGAGAGCTACTGTAGAGAGCTACCATAAGAGAGCTACTGTAGGAGAGCTAATGTAGTGAGCTAATGTGAGAGGGCTAATGTACAGAGCTGAGCTCTGAGTTTGTACTTGTGAGCTCTGAGTTTGTACCTGTGAGCTCTGAGTTTGTACCTGTGAGCTCTGAGTTTGTACCTGTGAGCTCTGAGTTTGTACCTGTGAGCTCTGAGTTTGTACCTATAAGCTCTGAGTTTAGTACCTGTGAGCTCTGAGTTTCGTACCAGATTTAACTCCCGTAGAAAAGCACTCGTAGAGCACAGACCTCCGCCAAGAGGCACACATCGTCTGATCCAGATCCTCTGCATTTGACCCCTCCCTCCCTGACACCGGCCTCAGCGGTCGCCGTAGCAACAGATGTTCTTCAGGACCACAGCTGTTGGTTCTACTCAGACTCAGAGGGACTCAGAGGTTCTAGTCCATTGTTAAATATCATCCAGCCAACTTTAAGGCCTGACCCTGCTCCTGGTTTTGGTACAAAGGTGGTCTTTAACTGTGGATCCTGATGATCCACTGTGACATCACCTTCTGTTTCTTCTGCTCATATTCTCTGCTGCTGGAGAACAATAGAAACATCAGTAACGCCTCCTGCTGGCCCCAGAGAGAACTGCAGCGACTGATCCTTTACAGAAACCCTTTCTTACTATTGTGTCCTTTTGATGTGTCTCCCACAGGAGCAGAGGCAGCTCGCCATGAGCCTGGTGTCCGAGGCTGAGCAGCTGCTGCAGGGTCTGACCTCTGACCCCCAGACCGAGGCCTTCAGGGTCTTTGTGGAGAGCTTCAGGTCGGGGCTGGAGGACTTCCTGAGCCGAGCCGAGGCCTGCGGCAGAGAACTGCAGAGTGTGGTCCACGTCTGGGACCTCTGCCAACAGGTGAGACCCTGAGAGAGGGAGAGGGTCTAGAAGGTCAGGGAGAGGGTCTAGAAGGTCAGCCTCAGTCCTGGGTCTACAGCCTCAGTCCTGGGTCTACAGCCTCAGTCCTGGGTCTACAGCCTCAGTCCTGGGTCTACAGCCTCAGTCCTGGGTCTACAGCCTCAGTCCTGGGTCTACAGCCTCAGTCCTGGGTCTACGGCCTCAGACCTGGGTTTACAGCCTCAGTCCTGGGTCTACAGCCTCAGTCCTGGGTCTACAGCCTCAGTCCTGGGTCTACGGCCTCAGACCTGGGTCTACAGCCTCAGTCCTGGGTCTACAGCCTCAGTCCTGGGTCTACAGCCTCAGTCCTGGGTCTACAGCCTCAGTCCTGGGTCTACGGCCTCAGTCCTGGGTCTACGGCCTCAGACCTGGGTCTACAGCCTCAGTCCTGGGTCTACGGCCTCAGTCCTGGGTCTACGGCCTCAGACCTGGGTCTACAGCCTCAGTCCTGGGTCTACAGCCTCAGTCCTGGGTCTACAGCCTCAGTCCTGGGTCTACGGCCTCAGTCCTGGGTCTACGGCCTCAGACCTGGGTCTACAGCCTCAGTCCTGGGTCTACGGCCTCAGTCCTGGGTCTACGGCCTCAGACCTGGGTCTACAGCCTCAGTCCTGGGTCTACGGCCTCAGTCCTGGGTCTACAGCCTTACAGCCATGTAAAACATTATAAAGATAATGTATAATGTGTGTTTTTCCCCGAAAATGATTCTTTAAATACTTCCCCCTCTCAGGCCACGGCTCTCGCCAACGAATCCCTGGACTACTTGGAGCACAAGACCCAGGACCAGACCCAGGACCAGATCCAGGACCCAGACCCAGAGCTGCTGACCCTCCAGCACCTGCTGCAGCGGCTGCATCAGCTGAGCCCTGAGCTCCAGGAGGTACTGCCTTTATCGTTGGTCAGATAAAGTCATGTGACAGTGTGTGACCCTGGCATGTTATAATAATAATAATAATAATAATAATACCTTTAATTTGTAATGCACTTTACATACAAATCTCAAAGTGCTACAGCACAACAACAATAAAAGCACACATTATTAAAGTTAAAACAATGTTAAGAAGGGTCCTGTTTTAAGTCCTCTTTTGAAGTTCTCCAATGACTGTGGGGCCCTCAGGTGTGGTGGGGCCCTCAGGTGTGGTGGGGCCCTCAGGTGTGGTGGGAGGGCGTTCCACAGTTTGGGAGCAGCCGCCTGGAAAGCCCTGTCACCCATTGTCCGGAGTTTAGTTCTGGGGATGGAGAGGAGGCTGGTGTCTGTGGACCGGAGTGCTCTGGTTATGGGCGGAGGAGTGAGAAGTTCTGTGAGATAGTCCGGGGCATGTCCGTGGATGCATTAGTAGGTGAGGAGGCAGATTTTGTATTGGAAGTGTTGGATGATTGGAAGCCAGTAAAGATGGCGGAGGACTGGGGCGAAGCGAGAATTATACCTCATTCTCTTTTCACGTCGACGTGCGTCTGGGCCGTTATACACTATGTTTAAACATGTGTTGATATGTGCTGTGGTCCTGGTTTGTTTGTTAATGACAATGATTATTAACAAATGTGTGTATTTTTTTCATGTATTAAATTGAAATAATTGTTTCCTGATCGTACATCTGCCGTTTATGTTAACATTGACTCTCTTTCAACAAAGCCTGGAGTTCTTTTCTTTGTCCGTGCTTCGTTAGTGCCTTTGATCGATCAAAGCCACACACACCGCTTTTATTTCAATGGTCTGAAGCTAAGACAATCTTTGCTGATAAACGCAGAGCCAGAGCTGCAGCCGCTGTGGCCACTGCTCTGTTTCACGCACGTCTGACGGCAGCCGCCGGCGCCGTGAACGGAGACGCAGCCGGTGGCGTCCAGCGCTAAGATTACAGCGTCAGAAACACAGGACCTGCACTTTACACCTTTAAAAACAAGCACCACAATCTAAACTCAGTGTGAAGTGAGGCCAAGGGTACTCTCTCTGTCCCTGTGAGTCTCTGTCCCTGTGAGTCACTGTCCCTGTGAGTGTCTGTCCCTGTGAGTCTCTGTCCCTGTGAGTTACTCTGTCCCTGTGAGTCTCTGTCCCTGTGAGTCCCTCTGTCCCTGTGAGTCTCTGTCCCTGTGAGTCTCTGTCCCTGTGAGTCCCTCTGTCCCTGTGAGTCTCTGTCCCTGTGAGTCTCTGTCCCTGTGAGTTACTCTGTCCCTGTGAGTCTCTGTCCCTGTGAGTCCCTCTGTCCCTGTGAGTCCCTGTCCCTGTGAGTCTCTGTCCTTGTGAGTCTCTGTCCCTGTGAGTCACTGTCCCTGTGAGTCACTGTCCCTGTGAGTCTCTGTCCCTGTGAGTCTCTGTCCCTGTGAGTCTCTGTCCTTGTGAGTCTCTGTCCCTGTGAGTCACTGTCCCTGTGAGTCACTGTCCCTGTGAGTCTCTGTCCCTGTGATCTCTGATGTCACTGAGACAGTAGAGTTGGGACTCCGGGGGTTGTGATAATTTTTCATGAATGGAATGTAAATCTGAAAATCAAAGGGCCAAGTATTGAGCCCTGGGGAACTCCACAGAGATCCAAGCCTGAGAGTGAAGGACCCCCGACAGGTAAGACCAAAACCAGTCCAGGGCGGTCCCCCTGGGACCACAGAGTTCCAGACGGTCCACGGAGTCTAAAAGCACTCAAACTGACTCAGTGCTGTATGACCGGACCAGGACCAGGACCAGGACTGGGACCAGGACCAGGACCAGGGCTGGGAGTGAGTTAGCTCTAATGTCTTCTTCTGCAGGCCAGCAGGGTGCGCTCTCCTCGCTGCATGCTGCAGTGGAACGCTGCATGGCTGCGGTGGCAGGAGGCGCAGCAGCAGCTGGAGGAGCGCATCTCTGAGAGGAGCAGGAGGCAGCGCCACTACAGAGACCCGGTCCATACAGAGCTCAGAACAAGACCAGGACCAGGACCTGTACACCCACAGTGGGACGAAGCAGTGTCTGGAGGAGCAGGAGGAGGAGAAGGAGGAGGAGGAGGAGGAGGAGGAGGAGGAGGAGGAGGAGGAGAGAAGCCAGAGGAGGAGCCTCCGTCCCCTCGCAGGTGAGCACAGGTTTATCTTTCAGATAATGATAACTGTCCTTAAACTTGTCTCCCTCTTCTGTCTCTTCTTCTGCTCATGACGTGTGTAATGTGTGTATGTCATACATGTTACTGTCACATGACGTGTGTTGCTATGGCGCCCCCTCAGGTCGCTGAGGGAGTCTCGGCGCAGACGTGCGGCTCGCGCCCGCAGTGAGCGAGACGCAGCGGCTCTGTCCCAGACGCACACCTCCGGCTGTACCTGGTTCCCCTGGAGCCGCTCTGTGAACCACGACACCTGCAGTACCACCTCCTCCAGAGGGGGCGCCACCTCCTCCAGAAGGGGAGCCACCTCCTGTTCCATCCTGCAGGAGGCTCAGAGGCACAGCAGCTTCTGTTCAGAGCCCAGCGGGTGTCCTCCAGGTGCTACGGGAAGTCTGAGCACGTACGAGTCGAATCTGTGCGACAGCTCCACCCGCTCTCTGTGAGTGTTCTCTGTCAGGTTCTCTCTGTGAGTGTTCTCTGTCAGGTTCTCTCTGTGAGTGTTCTCTGTCAGGTTCTCTCTGTGAGTGTTCTCTGTCAGGTTCTCTCTGTGAGTGTTCTCTGTCAGGTTCTCTCTGTGAGTGTTCTCTGTCAGGTTCTCTCTGTGAGTGTTCTCTGTCAGGTTCTCTCTGTGAGTGTTCTCAGTCAGGTTCTCTCTGTGAGTGTTCTCTGTCAGGTTCTCTCTGTGAGTGTTCTCAGTCAGGTTCTCTCTGTGAGTGTTCTCTGTCAGGTTCTCTCTGTGAGTGTTCTCTGTCAGGTTCTCTCTGTGAGTGTTCTCAGTCAGGTTCTCTCTGTGAGTGTTCTCTGTCAGGTTCTCTCTGTGAGTGTTCTCAGTCAGGTTCTCTCTGTGAGTGTTCTCAGTCAGGTTCTCTCTGTGAGTGTTCTCAGTCAGGTTCTCTCTGTGAGTGTTCTCTGTCAGGTTCTCTCTGTGAGTGTTCTCAGTCAGGTTCTCTCTGTGAGTGTTCTCAGTCAGGTTCTCTCTGTGAGTGTTCTCTGTCAGGTTCTCTCTGTGAGTGTTCTCAGTCAGGTTCTCTCTGTGATGTCACATGTGGTGATGTCACATGTGTGATGTCACATGTGTGATGTCACATGTGGTGATGTCACATGTGTGATGTCACATGTGTGATGTCACATGTGTGATGTCACATGTGTGAGGTCACATGTGTGATGTCACATGTGTGATGTCACATGTGTGATGTCACATGTGTGATGTCACATGTGTGATGTCACATGTGTGATGTCACATGTGGTGATGTCACATGTGTGATGTCACATGTGTGATGTCACATGTGTGATGTCACATGTGGTGATGTCACATGTGTGATGTCACATGTGTGATGTCACATGTGTGATGTCACATGTGTGATGTCACATGTGGTGATGTCACATGTGTGATGTCACATGTGTGATGTCACATGTGTGTGGTCAGGCGTCTACAGCGGCTGCTGGAGGAGCTGGTGGTCACAGAAAGAGAGTATGTCCGCTCTCTGGGCTACGTGCTGACTCACTACCTCCCCCTGCTGGAGCGGCAAGACCTGCCCCAGGACCTGCGCGGGAACAAGGCCCTGATCTTTGGGACCCTGGAGCAACTCTTCCACTTCCACAGCCTCAGCTTCCTCCCAGAGCTGGAGGCCTGCGAGGGCCGCGAGGGCCGCCCGGGCCTCATCGCCCGCTGCTTCCTCCGCCACGTGAGTCCCAGTCCCAGTCCATTTCCGTGTGTGGGACTGAGAGAGACCAGAGAGAGACCAGAGAGATACCAGAGAGAGACCAGAGAGATACCAGAGAGAGAGACCAGAGAGAGAGACCAGAGAGAGAGACCAGAGAGAGACCAGAAGGAGACCAGAGAGAGACCAGAGAGAGACCAGAGAGAGAGACCAGAGAGAGACCAGAGAGAGAGACCAGAGAGAGAGACCAGAGAGAGACCAGAGAGAGAGACCAGAGAGAGACCAGAGAGAGACCAGAGAGAGACCAGAGAGAGACCAGAGAGAGAGACCAGAGAGAGACCAGAGAGAGAGACCAGAGAGAGACCAGAGAGAGACCAGAGAGAGAGACCAGAGAGAGACCAGAGAGAGACCAGAGAGAGACCAGAGAGAGACCAGAAGGAGACCAGAGAGAGAGACCAGAGAGAGACCAGAGAGAGACCAGAGAGAAACACAAATTTTATTTCACCTTGAATCACACAGACTTCTGGGACTCTCCGGTAACGTCCCACTCCCACAGTCAGTATCAGTGGTACAGTGTTTATCAGTGGTACAGTATGTTTTAGTGGTACAGTGTGTATCAGTGGTACAGTATGTTTTAGTGGTACAGTGTGTATCAGTGGTACAGTCCGTATCAGTGGTACAGTGTGTATCAGTGGTACAGTGTTTATCAGTGGTACAGTGTGTATCAGTGGTACAGTGTGTATCAGTGGTACAGTGTGTATCAGTGGTACAGTGTTTATCAGTGGTACAGTCCGTATCAGTGGTACAGTGTGTATCAGTGGTACAGTGTTTATCAGTGGTACAGTCCGTATCAGTGGTACAGTGTGTATCAGTGGTACAGTGTTTATCAGTGGTACAGTGTTTATCAGTGGTACAGTCCGTATCAGTGGTACAGTGTGTATCAGTGGTACAGTGTTTATCAGTGGTACAGTGTGTATCAGTGGTACAGTGTTTATCAGTGGTACAGTGTGTATCAGTGGTACAGTGTGTATCAGTGGTACAGTGTTTATCAGTGGTACAGTGTGTATCAGTGGTACAGTGTGTATCAGTGGTACAGTGTGTATCAGTGGTACAGTCCGTATCAGTGGTACAGTGTGTATCAGTGGTACAGTATGTTTTAGTGGTACAGTCCGTATCAGTGGTACAGTGTGTATCAGTGGTACAGTCAGTATCAGTGGTACAGTGTGTATCAGTGGTACAGTGTGTATCAGTGGTACAGTCCGTATCAGTGGTACAGTGTGTATCAGTGGTACAGTATGTTTTAGTGGTACAGTCTGTATCAGTGGTACAGTGTGTATCAGTGGTACAGTCCGTATCAGTGGTACAGTGTGTATCAGTGGTACAGTATGTTTTAGTGGTACAGTGTGTATCAGTGGTACAGTCAGTATCAGTGGTACAGTGTGTATCAGTGGTACATTGTGTGTCAGTGGTACAGTGTGTATCAGTGGTACAGTCCGTATCAGTGGTACAGTATGTATCAGAGGTACATTGTGTGTCAATGGTACAGTGTGTATCAGTGGTACAGTGTGTATCAGTGGTACAGTGTGTATCAGCGGTGCAGTGTGTGTCAGTGGTACAGTCAGTATCAGTGGTACAGTGTGTATCAGTGGTACAGTCAGTGTCAGTGGTACAGTCAGTATCAGTGGTACAGTCAGTATCAGTGGTACAGTGTGTATCAATGGTACATCGTGTGTCAGTGGTACAGTGTGTATCAGTGGTACAGTGTGTATCAGTGGTACAGCCAGTATCAGTGGTACAGTCCGTATCAGTGGTACAGTGTGTATCAAGGGTACAGTGTGTGTAATCGGTGGTACAGTCAGTATCAGTGGTACTGTGTGTATCAGTGGTACAGTCAGTATCAGTGGTACTGTGTGTATCAGTGGTACATTGTGTGTCAGTGGTACAGTGTGTATCAGTGGTACAGTCAGTATCAGTGGTACGGTCAGTATCAGTGGTACAGTCAGTGTCAGTGGTACAGTGTGTATCAGTGGTACAGTCAGTATCAGTGGTACGGTCAGTATCAGTGGTACAGTCAGTGTCAGTGGTACAGTGTGTATCAGTGGTACAGTCAGTGTCAGTGGTACAGTCAGTATTAGTGGTACAGTCAGTATCAGTGGTACAGTCAGTATCAGTGGTACAGTCAGTATCAGTGGTACAGTCAGTATCAGTGGTACAGTGTGTATCAGTGGTACAGTCAGTATCAGTGGTACTGTGTGTATCAGTGGTACATTGTGTGTCAGTGGTACAGTGTGTATCAGTGGTACAGTCAGTATCAGTGGTACGGTCAGTATCAGTGGTACAGTCAGTGTCAGTGGTACAGTGTGTATCAGTGGTACAGTGTGTATCAGTGGTACAGTCAGTATCAGTGGTACAGTGTGTATCAGTGGTACAGTCAGTGTCAGTGGTACAGTCAGTATTAGTGGTACAGTCAGTATCAGTGGTACAGTCAGTATCAGTGGTACAGTCAGTATCAGTGGTACAGTGTGTATCAGTGGTACAGTGATGTCCCTGTGCTCCTCAGAGCCAGTCCCTGGGTCTTTACGCTCTCTACAGTAAGAACAAACCTCAGTCTGACGCCCTGATCCTGCAGCAGCGCCACGACATCTTCAAGGTCTGTGTCTGTGACTGTGTCTGTGACTGTGTCTGTGTATCTGCCTCTGTCTCTGTGACTGTGTCTGTGACTGTGTCTGTGACTCTGTCTGTGACTGTGACTGTGTCTGTGACTGTGTCTGTGACTGTGTCTGTGTCTGTGACTGTGTCTGTGACTGTGTCTGTGACTGTCTCTGTGTCTGTGACTGTGTCTGTGACTGTGTCTGTGTCTGTGACTGTGTTTGTGTCTGTGACTGTGTCTGTGACTGTGACTGCGTCTGTGACTGTGTCTGTGACTGTGTCTGTAACTGTGTCTGTGACTCTGTCTGTGACTGTGACTGTGTCTGTGACTGTGTCTGTGACTGTGTCTGTGTCTGTGTCTGTGTCTGTGACTGTGTCTGTGACTCTGTCTGTGACTGTGACTGTGTCTGTGACTGTGTCTGTGTCTGTGACTGTGTCTGTGACTGTGTCTGTGACTGTCTCTGTGTCTGTGACTGTGTCTGTGACTGTGTCTGTGTCTGTGACTGTGTTTGTGTCTGTGACTGTGTCTGTGACTGTGACTGCGTCTGTGACTGTGTCTGTTACTGTGACTGTGTCTGTGACTGTGTCTGTAACTGTGTCTGTAACTGTGACTGTGTCTGTGACTGTGTCTGTGACTGTGACTGTGTCTGTGACTGTCTCTGTGTCTGTGTCTATGACTGTGACTGTGACTGTGTCTGTGACTGTGTCTGTGACTGTGACTGTGTCTGTGACTGTCTCTGTGTCTGTGTCTATGACTGTGACTGTGACTGTGTCTGTGACTGTGACTGTGACTGTGACTGTGTCTGTGTCTGTGACTGTGTCTGTGTATCTGCCTCTGTGTCTGTGACTGTGTCTGTGACTGTGTCTGTGTATCTGCCTCTGTCTCTGTGTCTGTGACTGTGTCTGTGACTCTGTCTGTGACTGTGACTGTGTCTGTGACTGTGTCTGTGTGTCTGTGTCTGTGTCTGTGACTGTGTCTGTGACTGTGACTGTGACTGTGTCTGTGTCTGTGTCTGTGACTGTGTCTGTGACTGTGTCTGTGTCTGTGACTGTGTCTGTGTATCTGCCTCTGTGTCTGTGACTGTGTCTGTGACTGTGTCTGTGTATCTGCCTCTGTCTCTGTGTCTGTGACTGTGTCTGTGACTCTGTCTGTGACTGTGACTGTGTCTGTGACTGTGTCTGTGACTGTGTCTGTGACTGTGTCTGTGACTGTGTCTGTGACTGTCTCTGTGTCTGTGACTGTGTCTGTGTCTGTGACTGTGTTTGTGACTGTGACTGTGTCTGTGACTGTGTCTGTGACTGTGTCTGTAACTGTGTCTGTGTCTGTGTCTGTGACTGTGTCTGTAACTGTGTCTGTAACTGTGACTGTGTCTGTGACTGTGTCTGTGACTGTGACTGTGACTGTGTCTGTGACTGTCTCTGTGTCTGTGTCTATGACTGTGACTGTGACTGTGTCTGTGTCTGTGACTGTGTCTGTGTCTGTGACTGTGTCTGTGACTGTGTCTGTGACTGTGTCTGTGACTGTGACTGTGTCTGTGACTGTCTCTGTGTCTGTGTCTATGACTGTGACTGTGTCTGTGACTGTGACTGTGTCTGTGACTGTGTCTGTGACTGTGTCTGTGTCTGTGACTGTGTCTGTGACTGTGTCTGTGACTGTGACTGTGTCTGTGTCTGTGACTGTGTCTGTGTCTGTGTCTGTGACTGTGTCTGTGTCTGTGACTGTGACTGTGTCTGTGTCTGTGTCTGTGACTGTGACTGTGGAGGTCCTCTCACCTCTCTCCTCTCTCCTCTCTCCTCTCTCCTCTGTCCTCTCACCTCTCTCCTCTGTCCTCTGTCCTCTGTCCTCTGTCCTCTCTCCTCTCTCCTCTGTCCTCTCTCCTCTGTCCTCTCTCCTCTGTCCTCTCTCCTCTGTCCTCTCACCTCTCTCCTCTGTCCTCTCTCCTCTGTCCTCTCTCCTCTGTCCTCTCTCCTCTCTCCTCTCTCCTCTCTCCTCTGTCCTCTCTCCTCTCTCCTCTGTCCTCTCTCCTCTGTCCTCTGTCCTCTCTCCTCTGTCCTCTCTCCTCTCTCCTCTGTCCTCTGTCCTCTGTCCTCTCTCCTCTGTCCTCTATCCTCTCTCCTCTGTCCTCTCACCTCTCTCCTCTGTCCTCTCTCCTCTGTCCTCTCTCCTCTGTCCTCTCTCCTCTGTCCTCTCTCCTCTGTCCTCTCTCCTCTCTCCTCTGTCCTCTGTCCTCTCTCCTCTGTCCTCTCACCTCTCTCCTCTGTCCTCTCTCCTCTCTCCTCTGTCCTCTGTCCTCTCTCCTCTGTCCTCTCTCCTCTGTCCTCTCTCCTCTGTCCTCTCACCTCTCTCCTCTGTCCTCTCTCCTCTGTCCTCTCTCCTCTGTCCTCTCTCCCTCTCTCCTCTCTCCTCTCTCCTCTGTCCTCTCTCCTCTCTCCTCTGTCCTCTCACCTCTCTCCTCTGTCCTCTGTCCTCTGTCTCTGTCCTCTCTCCTCTCTCCTCTGTCCTCTCTCCTCTGTCCTCTCTCCTCTGTCCTCTCTCCTCTGTCCTCTCACCTCTCTCCTCTGTCCTCTCTCCTCTGTCCTCTCTCCTCTCTCCTCTCTCCTCTCTCCTCTCTCCTCTGTCCTCTCTCTCCTCTCTCCTCTGTCCTCTCACCTCTCTCCTCTGTCCTCTGTCCTCTGTCCTCTGTCCTCTCTCCTCTCTCCTCTGTCCTCTCTCCTCTGTCCTCTCTCCTCTCCTCCTCTGTCCTCTGTCCTCTCTCCTCTGTCCTCTCACCTCTCTCCTCTGTCCTCTCTCCTCTCTCCTCTGTCCTCTGTCCTCTCTCCTCTGTCCTCTCTCCTCTGTCCTCTCTCCTCTGTCCTCTCACCTCTCTCCTCTGTCCTCTCTCCTCTGTCCTCTCTCCTCTGTCCTCTCTCCTCTCTCCTCTCTCCTCTGTCCTCTCTCCTCTCTCCTCTGTCCTCTCACCTCTCTCCTCTGTCCTCTGTCCTCTGTCCTCTGTCCTCTCTCCTCTCTCCTCTGTCCTCTCTCCTCTGTCCTCTCTCCTCTGTCCTCTCTCCTCTGTCCTCTCACCTCTCTCCTCTGTCCTCTCTCCTCTCTCCTCTCTCCTCTCTCCTCTCTCCTCTCTCCTCTCTCCTCTGTCCTCTCTCCTCTCTCCTCTGTCCTCTCACCTCTCTCCTCTGTCCTCTGTCCTCTGTCCTCTGTCCTCTCTCCTCTCTCCTCTGTCCTCTCTCCTCTGTCCTCTCTCCTCTGTCCTCTCTCCTCTGTCCTCTCACCTCTCTCCTCTGTCCTCTCTCCTCTGTCCTCTCTCCTCTGTCCTCTCTCCTCTCTCCTCTCTCCTCTCTCCTCTGTCCTCTCTCCTCTCTCCTCTGTCCTCTCTCCTCTGTCCTCTGTCCTCTCTCCTCTGTCCTCTCTCCTCTCTCCTCTGTCCTCTGTCCTCTGTCCTCTCTCCTCTGTCCTCTATCCTCTCTCCTCTGTCCTCTCACCTCTCTCCTCTGTCCTCTCTCCTCTGTCCTCTCTCCTCTGTCCTCTCTCCTCTGTCCTCTCTCCTCTGTCCTCTCTCCTCTCTCCTCTGTCCTCTGTCCTCTCTCCTCTGTCCTCTCACCTCTCTCCTCTGTCCTCTCTCCTCTCTCCTCTGTCCTCTGTCCTCTCTCCTCTGTCCTCTCTCCTCTGTCCTCTCTCCTCTGTCCTCTCACCTCTCTCCTCTGTCCTCTCTCCTCTGTCCTCTCTCCTCTGTCCTCTCTCCTCTCTCTCCTCTCTCCTCTGTCCTCTCACCTCTCTCCTCTCTCCTCTCTCCTCTGTCCTCTCTCCTCTGTCCTCTCTCCTCTCTCCTCTGTCCTCTCTCCTCTCTCCTCTCTCCTCTCTCCTCTGTCCTCTCACCTCTCTCCTCTCTCCTCTCTCCTCTGTCCTCTCTCCTCTCTCCTCTGTCCTCTGTCCTCTCTCCTCTGTCCTCTATCCTCTCACCTGTCTCCTCTCTCCTCTGTCCTCTCACCTCTCTCCTCTCTCCTCTCTCCTCTGTCCTCTCTCCTCTGTCCTCTGTCCTCTCTCCTCTGTCCTCTCTCCTCTCTCCTCTGTCCTCTCTCCTCTCTCCTCTGTCCTCTCTCCTCTGTCCTCTGTCCTCTGTCCTCTGTCCTCTCACCTCTCTCCTCTGTCCTCTCTCCTCTCACCTCTCTCCTCTCTCCTCTGTCCTCTCTCCTCTGTCCTCTCTCCTCTCTCCTCTGTCCTCTCTCCTCTCTCCTCTGTCCTCTCTCCTCTGTCCTCTCTCCTCTGTCCTCTCACCTCTCTCTTCTCTCCTCTGTCCTCTCTCCTCTCACCTCTCTCCTCTCTCCTCTGTCCTCTCTCCTCTCTCCTCTCTCCTCTCTCCTCTGTCCTCTCACCTCTCTCCTCTCTCCTCTCTCCTCTTTCCTCTCTCCTCTCTCCTCTGTCCTCTGTCCTCTCTCCTCTGTCCTCTATCCTCTCACCTGTCTCCTCTCTCCTCTGTCCTCTCACCTCTCTCCTCTCTCCTCTCTCCTCTGTCCTCTCTCCTCTGTCCTCTGTCCTCTCTCCTCTGTCCTCTCTCCTCTCTCCTCTGTCCTCTCTCCTCTCTCCTCTGTCCTCTCTCCTCTGTCCTCTGTCCTCTGTCCTCTCACCTCTCTCCTCTGTCCTCTCTCCTCTCACCTCTCTCCTCTCTCCTCTGTCCTCTCTCCTCTGTCCTCTCTCCTCTCTCCTCTGTCCTCTCTCCTCTCTCCTCTGTCCTCTCTCCTCTGTCCTCTCTCCTCTGTCCTCTCACCTCTCTCTTCTCTCCTCTGTCCTCTCTCCTCTCACCTCTCTCCTCTCTCCTCTGTCCTCTCTCCTCTCTCCTCTCTCCTCTGTCCTCTCTCCTCTCACCTCTCTCCTCTCTCCTCTGTCCTCTCTCCTCTGTCCTCTCTCCTCTGTCCTCTCTCCTCTGTCCTCTGTCCTCTCTCCTCTCTCCTCTGTCCTCTCTCCTCTCTCCTCTCTCCTCTGTCCTCTCTCCTCTGTCCTCTCTCCTCTGTCCTCTCTCCTCTGTCCTCTCTCCTCTCTCCTCTGTCCTCTCTCCTCTGTCCTCTCTCCTCTGTCCTCTCTCCTCTGTCCTCTCTCCTCTCTCCTCTGTCCTCTCTCCTCTCTCCTCTCTCCTCTGTCCTCTCTCCTCTGTCCTCTCTCCTCTGTCCTCTCTCCTCTGTCCTCTCTCCTCTGTCCTCTCTCCTCTCTCCTCTGTCCTCTCTCCTCTGTCCTCTCTCCTCTGTCCTCTCTCCTCTGTCCTCTCTCCTCTCTCCTCTGTCCTCTCTCCTCTCTCCTCTCTCCTCTGTCCTCTCTCCTCTGTCCTCTCTCCTCTGTCCTCTCACCTCTCTCCTCTGTCCTCTCTCCTCTGTCCTCTCTCCTCTGTCCTCTCTCCTCTCTCCTCTGTCCTCTCTCCTCTCTCCTCTCTCCTCTGTCCTCTCTCCTCTGTCCTCTCTCCTCTGTCCTCTCTCCTCTGTCCTCTCACCTCTCTCCTCTGTCCTCTCTCCTCTGTCCTCTCTCCTCTGTCCTCTCTCCTCTCTCCTCTGTCCTCTCTCCTCTCTCCTCTCTCCTCTGTTCTCCCCTGACAGAGAGTTGTCCCGTCCCCAGAGGAAGCAGCAGGAGCTGGGGGACCATATGGACCTGTCCTCGTACCTGCTGAGGCCCATCCAGAGGATCAGCAAGTACAGTCTGCTGCTGCAAGACATGCTGACCCTGAGCCCAGACCAGAGCGAGCAAGACCAGAGGGGGCCAGACCAGAGGGAGCCAGACCAGAGGGAGCCAGACCAGAGGGAGCCAGACCAGAGGGAGCCAGACCAGAGGGAGCGAGACAGAGACGACCTCCAGGCGGCGGCTCAACTGGTGCGCTACCAGATGAGACATGGCAACGACCTGCTGACCATGGACGCCATCCAAGACTGTGACGTGAGTTTGTCTCCCAGAGTGAGACCAGGTCTACTCTCTGGTCTCTATCTGGTCTCTGATCCTCTCTGGTCCCTCTCCGGTCTCTATCTGGTCTCTTTCTGGTCTCTATCTGCTCTCTGGTCCCTCTCTGGTCTCTTTCTGGTCTCTATCTGCTCTCCATCTGGTCTCTGATCCTCTCTGATACTCTCTGGTTTCTTTCTGGTCTCTGATCCTCTCTGGTCTCTTTCTGGTCTCTCTCTGGTCCCTCTCTGGTCCCTTTCTGGTCTCTGTGGTCTCTCTCTGGTCTCTCTCTGGTCTGTCTCTGGTCTCTCTCTGGTCTGTCTCTGGTCTCTCTCTGGTCTCTCTCTGGTCTCTCTCTCTAGTCCCTCTCTGGTCCCTCTCTGGTCTCTCTCTGGTCTCTCTCTCTGGTCTCTCTCTGGTCTCTCTCTCTGGTCTCTCTCTGGTCTCTCTCTGGTCTCTCTCTGGTCCCTCTCTGGTCTCTCTCTGGTCTCTCTCTCTAGTCCCTCTCTGGTCCCTCTCTGGTCTCTCTCTGGTCTCTCTCTGGTCTTTGATCGTCTCTGGTCTCTCTGGTACCAGGTGAACCTGAAGGAGCAGGGTTTGCTGGTTCGTCAGGATGAGTTTTCCGTCTTGTTCCGGAAGAAGAAGTGTGTTCGTCGAGTCTTTCTGTTCGAGGAACTCATCGTCTTCAGCAAAACCCGGAAAACAAACGGAAACGACATCTACGTCTACAAGCAGAGCTTCAAGGTCTCTCACTCTCACTCTCTCACCCTCTCACTCTCTCACCCTCTCACCCTCTCACTCTCTCACCCTCTCACTCTCTCACCCTCTCACCCTCTCACTCTCTCATCCTCACCCTCTCACTCTCTCACCCTCTCTCACTCTCTCCCACTCTCTCTCTCACTCTCTCACCCTCTCCCACTCTCTCTCTCACTCTCTCACTCTCTCACCATCTCACTCTATCTCTCTCTCACTGACCCTCTCACTCTCACTCTCTCACCCTCTCACTCTCTCTCTCACCCTCTCACCCTCTCTCTCTCACTGACCCTCTCACTCTCTCACTTTCTCTCTCACTCTCTCTCACTCTCACTCTCTCACCCTCTCACCCTCTCTCTCACCCTCTCTCTCTCTCTCACTCTCACTCTCTCTCTCTCACTCTCTCACTCTCTCACCCTCTCACTCTTTGAGACTCAGATCTGCAGTGAAAAGGCGGTATATAAATAAAAACTTACTTACTTACTTACTTACTTACACTCTCACTCTCTCTCTCACTCTCTCACCCTCTCTCTCTCGCTTTCTCACCCTCTCTCTCTCACCCTCTCTCACTCTCTCTCACTCTCTCGCCCTCTCACTCTCTCTCACCCTCTCACTCTCTCTCTGACCCTCTCACTCTCTCTCACTCTCTCGCCCTCTCACTCTCTCTCTGACCCTCTCACTCTCACTCTCTCTCTGACCCTCTCTCTCACTCTCTCACCCTCTCTCTCTCACCAGACCAGTGAGATTGGAATGACCCAGAACTCTCCTCTGAGTGGACCGTGTTTTGAGGTTTGGTTCCGGCGCCGGAGGAGTCAGGACACGTTCACTCTGAGGGCCGCCAGTGAGGACCTGAAGGAGGCCTGGACCGCGGACCTGGAGAGTATCCTGTGGAACCAGGCCTCCCGCAGCAGAGGTGCTTCAACGACATTATTATTATTATTATTATTATTATTATTATTATTATTATTATTATTATTATTATACTTCTGAGCTTTAAAGATGCACATGTGAGTTTGTGTGAGAGCGCTGTGATTGGCTGAGAGACGCCCAGGAGGGGACCAGGAGGAGACCAGGAGGAGACCAGGAGGGGACCAGGAGGAGACCAGGAGGAGACCGGGAGGGGACTAGGAGGAGACCAGGAGGGGACCAGGAGGAGACCAGGAGGGGACCAGGAGGGGACCAGGAGGAGACCAGGAGGGGACCAGGGGGGGACCAGGAGGAGACCAGGAGGGGACCAGGAGGGGAGGGGACCAGGAGGAGACCAGGAGGAGACCAGGAGGAGATCAGGAGCAGACCAGGAGGAGACCAGGAGGAGACCAGGAGGAGACCAGGAGGAGACCAGGAGGGCACTGACACTGACTCTGACACTGACTCTGACACTGACACTGACACTGACTCTGACACTGACTCTGACACTGACACTGACACTGACTCTGACACTGACTCTGACTCTGACACTGACACTGACTCTGACACTGACTCTGACACTGACACTGACACTGACACTGACTCTGACACTGACACTGACTCTGACACTGACTCTGACACTGACACTGACTCTGACACTGACTCTGACACTGACACTGACACTGACTCTGACACTGACTCTGACACTGACTCTGACTCTGACTCTGACACTGACTCTGACACTGACACTGACACTGACTCTGACACTGACACTGACACTGACTCTGACTCTGACACTGACACTGACTCTGACACTGACTCTGACTTTGACACTGACACTGACACTGACTCTGACACTGACTCTGACACTGACTCTGACACTGACACTGACTCTGACTCTGACTCTGACTCTGACTCTGACTCTGACACTGACTCTGACTCTGACACTGACACTGACACTGACTCTGACACTGACACTGACACTGACACTGACTCTGACACTGACTCTGACACTGACACTGACACTGACTCTGACTCTGACTCTGACTCTGACTCTGACACTGACACTGACACTGACTCTGACACTGACTCTGACACTGACACTGACTCTGACTCTGACACTGACACTGACACTGACTCTGACTCTGACTCTGACACTGACTCTGACACTGACTCTGACACTGACTCTGACTCTGACACTGACACTGACACTGACTCTGACACTGACACTGACACTGACTCTGACACTGACACTGACACTGACACTGACTCTGACACTGACACTGACACTGACACTGACTCTGACACTGACACTGACACTGACTCTGACTCTGACTCTGACTCTGACACTGACACTGACACTGACTCTGACACTGACTCTGACACTGACACTGACTCTGACTCTGACACTGACTCTGACACTGACTCTGACTCTGACACTGACACTGACACTGACTCTGACACTGACACTGACTCTGACACTGACACTGACACTGACACTGACTCTGACACTGACTCTGACACTGACACTGACACTGACTCTGACTCTGACTCTGACACTGACACTGACACTGACTCTGACACTGACACTGACTCTGACTCTGACTCTGACACTGACTCTGACTCTGACACTGACACTGACACTGACTCTGACTCTGACACTGACACTGACTCTGACTCTGACTCTGACTCTGACACTGACTCTGACACTGACACTGACACTGACACTGACACTGACACTGACTCTGACACTGACTCTGACTCTGACTCTGACTCTGACACTGACACTGACACTGACACTGACTCTGACTCTGACACTGACACTGACACTGACACTGACTCTGACACAGACTCTGACTCTGACTCTGACTCTGACACTGACACTGACTCTGACTCTGACTCTGACACTGACACTGACACTGACACTGACACTGACACTGACTCTGACTCTGACTCTGACACTGACACTGACACTGACACTGACTCTGACACAGACTCTGACTCTGACTCTGACTCTGACACTGACACTGACTCTGACTCTGACACTGACACTGACACTGACACTGACACTGACTCTGACACTGACTTTGACACTGACACTGACACTGACTCTGACTCTGACACTGACACTGACACTGACACTGACACTGACACTGACACTGACTCTGACTCTGACACTGACTCTGACTCTGACTCTGACACTGACACTGACACTGACTCTGACTCTGACACTTTAAGCGGTGCTGATGCTGGGTGCTGTTGCCGTGGTTACAGAGCTGCGTCTCCAGGAGCGAGTGTTCATGGGACTCGGACACAAACCGTTTCTGGACATTCAGCCGAGCGCCGCCGCCATCTGCGACCGCACCGTGAGCTGTGGCCTCCAGGGAAAAGGTCAGTCCCTATAGTCTGTGTCAGTACCTCTAGTCTGTGTCTGTCCCCATGGTCTGTGTCAGTACCTGTAGTCTGTGTCAGTCCCTATAGTCTGCGTCAGTCCCTGTAGTCTGTGTCAGTCCCTATAGTCTGTGTCAGTCCCTGTAGTCTGTCAGTCCCTGTAGTCTGTGTCAGTCCCTATGGTCTGTGTCAGTCCCTATAGTCTGTGTCAGTCCCTATGGTCTGTGTCAGTCCCTGTAGTCTGTGTCAGTCCCTATAGTCTGTGTCAGTCCCTGTAGTCTGTGTCAGTCCCTGTAGTCTGTGTCAGTCCCTATAGTCTGTCAGTCCCTGTAGTCTGTGTCAGTCCCTGTAGTCTGTGTCAGTCCCTATGGTCTGTGTCAGTCCCTATAGTCTGCGTCAGTCCCTGTAGTCTGTGTCAGTCCCTGTAAACAGAGTCCCTATAGTCGTCACACATCTCTAACAGTGTGTACCTGTGTGTTGTGTATGTGTCAGTCCCTGTAAACACACATCTCTAACCGTGTGTACCTGTGTGTTGTGTATGTGTCAGTCCCTGTAAACACACATCTCTAACCGTGTGTACCTGTGTGTTGTGTATGTGTCAGTCCCTGTAAACACACATCTCTAACCGTGTGTACCTGTGTCTTGTGTATGTGTCAGTCTCTGTAAACACACATCTCTAACCGTGTGTACCTGTGTCTTGTGTATGTGTCAGTCCCTGTAAACACACATCTCTAACCGTGTGTACCTGTGTGTTGTGTATGTGTCAGTCCCTGTAAACACACATCTCTAACAGTGTGTACCTGTGTGTTGTGTATGTGTCAGTCCCTGTAAACACACATCTCTAACCGTGTGTACCTGTGTGTTGTGTATGTGTCAGTCCCTGTAAACACACATCTCTAACCGTGTGTACCTGTGTGTTGTATATGTGTCAGTCCCTGTAAACACACATCTCTAACAGTGTGTACCTGTGTGTTGTGTATGTGTCAGTCCCTGTAAACACACATCTCTAACCGTGTGTACCTGTGTGTTGTGTATGTGTCAGTCCCTGTAAACACACATCTCTAACAGTGTGTACCTGTGTGTTGTGTATGTGTCAGTCCCTGTAAACACACATCTCTAACCGTGTGTACCTGTGTGTTGTGTATGTGTCAGTCCCTGTAAACACACATCTCTAACCGTGTGTACCTGTGTGTTGTGTATGTGTCAGTCCCTGTAAACACACATCTCTAACAGTGTGTACCTGTGTGTTGTGTATGTGTCAGTCCCTGTAAACACACATCTCTAACCGTGTGTACCTGTGTGTTGTGTTTGTGTCAGTCCCTGTAAACACACATCTCTAACAGTGTGTACCTGTGTGTTGTGTATGTGTCAATCCCTGTAAACACACATCTCTAACCGTGTGTACCTGTGTGTTGTGTATGTGTCAGTCCCTGTAAACACACATCTCTAACAGTGTGTACCTGTGTGTTGTGTATGTGTCAGTCCCTGTAAACACACATCTCTAACCGTGTGTACCTGTGTGTTGTGTATGTGTCAGTCCCTGTAAACACACATCTCTAACCGTGTGTACCTGTGTGTTGTGTATGTGTCAGTCCCTGTAAACACACATCTCTAACCGTGTGTTGTGTATGTGTCAGTCCCTGTAAACACACATCTCTAACAGTGTGTACCTGTGTGTTGTGTATGTGTCAGTCCCTGTAAACACACATCTCTAACCGTGTGTACCTGTGTGTTGTGTATGTGTCAGTCCCTGTAAACACACATCTCTAACCGTGTGTACCTGTGTGTTGTGTATGTGTCAGTCCCTGTAAACACACATCTCTAACAGTGTGTACCTGTGTGTTGTGTATGTGTCAGTCCCTGTAAACACACATCTCTAACCGTGTGTACCTGTGTGTTGTGTATGTGTCAGTCCCTGTAAACACACATCTCTAACCGTGTGTACCTGTGTCTTGTGTATGTGTCAGTCCTTGTAAACACACATCTCTAACCGTGTGTACCTGTGTGTTGTGTATGTGTCAGTCCCTGTAAACACACATCTCTAACCGTGTGTACCTGTGTGTTGTGTATGTGTCAGTCCCTGTAAACACACATCTCTAACCGTGTGTACCTGTGTGTTGTGTATGAGTCAGTCCCTGTAAACACACATCTCTAATGGTGGGAACCTGTGTGTTGTGTATGTGTCAGTCCCTGTAAACACACATCTCTAACCGTGTGTACCTGTGTGTTGTGTATGTGTCAGTCCCTGTAAACACACATCTCTAACCGTGTGTACCTGTGTGTTGTGTATGTGTCAGTCCCTGTAAACACACATCTCTAACAGTGTGTACCTGTGTGTTGTGTATGTGTCAGTCCCTGTAAACACACATCTCTAACCGTGTGTACCTGTGTGTTGTGTATGTGTCAGTCCCTGTAAACACACATCTCTAACCGTGTGTACCTGTGTGTTGTGTATGTGTCAGTCCCTGTAAACACACATCTCTAACCGTGTGTACCTGTGTGTTGTGTATGTGTCAGTCCCTGTAAACACACATCTCTAACAGTGTGTACCTGTGTGTTGTGTATGTGTCAGTCCCTGTAAACACACATCTCTAACCGTGTGTACCTGTGTCTTGTGTATGTGTCAGTCTCTGTAAACACACATCTCTAACCGTGTGTACCTGTGTCTTGTGTATGTGTCAGTCCCTGTAAACACACATCTCTAACCGTGTGTACCTGTGTGTTGTGTATGTGTCAGTCCCTGTAAACACACATCTCTAACAGTGTGTACCTGTGTGTTGTGTATGTGTCAGTCCCTGTAAACACACATCTCTAACCGTGTGTACCTGTGTGTTGTGTATGTGTCAGTCCCTGTAAACACACATCTCTAACCGTGTGTACCTGTGTGTTGTGTATGTGTCAGTCCCTGTAAACACACATCTCTAACAGTGTGTACCTGTGTGTTGTGTATGTGTCAGTCCCTGTAAACACACATCTCTAACCCTGTGTACCTGTGTGTTGTGTATGTGTCAGTCCCTGTAAACACACATCTCTAACAGTGTGTACCTGTGTGTTGTGTATGTGTCAGTCCCTGTAAACACACATCTCTAACCGTGTGTACCTGTGTGTTGTGTATGTGTCAGTCCCTGTAAACACACATCTCTAACCGTGTGTACCTGTGTGTTGTGTATGTGTCAGTCCCTGTAAACACACATCTCTAACAGTGTGTACCTGTGTGTTGTGTATGTGTCAGTCCCTGTAAACACACATCTCTAACCGTGTGTACCTGTGTGTTGTGTATGTGTCAGTCCCTGTAAACACACATCTCTAACAGTGTGTACCTGTGTGTTGTGTATGTGTCAATCCCTGTAAACACACATCTCTAACCGTGTGTACCTGTGTGTTGTGTATGTGTCAGTCCCTGTAAACACACATCTCTAACAGTGTGTACCTGTGTGTTGTGTATGTGTCAGTCCCTGTAAACACACATCTCTAACCGTGTGTACCTGTGTGTTGTGTATGTGTCAGTCCCTGTAAACACACATCTCTAACCGTGTGTACCTGTGTGTTGTGTATGTGTCAGTCCCTGTAAACACACATCTCTAACAGTGTGTACCTGTGTGTTGTGTATGTGTCAGTCCCTGTAAACACACATCTCTAACCGTGTGTACCTGTGTGTTGTGTATGTGTCAGTCCCTGTAAACACACATCTCTAACAGTGTGTACCTGTGTGTTGTGTATGTGTCAGTCCCTGTAAACACACATCTCTAACCGTGTGTACCTGTGTGTTGTGTATGTGTCAGTCCCTGTAAACACACATCTCTAACCGTGTGTTGTGTATGTGTCAGTCCCTGTAAACACACATCTCTAACAGTGTGTACCTGTGTGTTGTGTATGTGTCAGTCCCTGTAAACACACATCTCTAACCGTGTGTACCTGTGTGTTGTGTATGTGTCAGTCCCTGTAAACACACATCTCTAACAGTGTGTACCTGTGTGTTGTGTATGTGTCAATCCCTGTAAACACACATCTCTAACCGTGTGTACCTGTGTGTTGTGTATGTGTCAGTCCCTGTAAACACACATCTCTAACAGTGTGTACCTGTGTGTTGTGTATGTGTCAGTCCCTGTAAACACACATCTCTAACCGTGTGTACCTCTGTGTTGTGTATGTGTCAGTCCCTGTAAACACACATCTCTAACCGTGTGTACCTGTGTGTTGTGTATGTGTCAGTCCCTGTAAACACACATCTCTAACCGTGTGTACCTGTGTGTTGTGTATGTGTCAGTCCCTGTAAACACACATCTCTAACCGTGTGTACCTGTGTGTTGTGTCAGTCCCTGTAAACACACATCTCTAACCGTGTGTACCTGTGTGTTGTGTATGTGTCAGTCCCTGTAAACACACATCTCTAACCGTGTGTACCTGTGTGTTGTGTATGTGTCAGTCCCTGTAAACACACATCTCTAACCGTGTGTACCTGTGTGTTGTGTATGTGTCAGTCCCTGTAAACACACATCTCTAACAGTGTGTACCTGTGTGTTGTGTATGTGTCAGTCCCTGTAAACACACATCTCTAACCGTGTGTACCTGTGTGTTGTGTATGTGTCAGTCCCTGTAAACACACATCTCTAACCGTGTGTACCTGTGTGTTGTGTATGTGTCAGTCCCTGTAAACACACATCTCTAACCGTGTGTACCTGTGTGTTGTGTATGTGTCAGTCCCTGTAAACACACATCTCTAACAGTGTGTACCTGTGTGTTGTGTATGTGTCAGTCCCTGTAAACACACATCTCTAACCGTGTGTACCTGTGTGTTGTGTATGTGTCAGTCCCTGTAAACACACATCTCTAACCGTGTGTACCTGTGTGTTGTGTATGTGTCAGTCCCTGTAAACACACATCTCTAACAGTGTGTACCTGTGTGTTGTGTATGTGTCAGTCCCTGTAAACACACATCTCTAACCCTGTGTACCTGTGTGTTGTGTATGTGTCAGTCCCTGTAAACACACATCTCTAACAGTGTGTACCTGTGTGTTGTGTATGTGTCAGTCCCTGTAAACACACATCTCTAACCGTGTGTACCTGTGTGTTGTGTATGTGTCAGTCCCTGTAAACACACATCTCTAACCGTGTGTACCTGTGTGTTGTGTATGTGTCAGTCCCTGTAAACACACATCTCTAACAGTGTGTACCTGTGTGTTGTGTATGTGTCAGTCCCTGTAAACACACATCTCTAACCGTGTGTACCTGTGTGTTGTGTATGTGTCAGTCCCTGTAAACACACATCTCTAACAGTGTGTACCTGTGTGTTGTGTATGTGTCAATCCCTGTAAACACACATCTCTAACCGTGTGTACCTGTGTGTTGTGTATGTGTCAGTCCCTGTAAACACACATCTCTAACAGTGTGTACCTGTGTGTTGTGTATGTGTCAGTCCCTGTAAACACACATCTCTAACCGTGTGTACCTGTGTGTTGTGTATGTGTCAGTCCCTGTAAACACACATCTCTAACCGTGTGTACCTGTGTGTTGTGTATGTGTCAGTCCCTGTAAACACACATCTCTAACAGTGTGTACCTGTGTGTTGTGTATGTGTCAGTCCCTGTAAACACACATCTCTAACCGTGTGTACCTGTGTGTTGTGTATGTGTCAGTCCCTGTAAACACACATCTCTAACAGTGTGTACCTGTGTGTTGTGTATGTGTCAGTCCCTGTAAACACACATCTCTAACCGTGTGTACCTGTGTGTTGTGTATGTGTCAGTCCCTGTAAACACACATCTCTAACCGTGTGTTGTGTATGTGTCAGTCCCTGTAAACACACATCTCTAACAGTGTGTACCTGTGTGTTGTGTATGTGTCAGTCCCTGTAAACACACATCTCTAACCGTGTGTACCTGTGTGTTGTGTATGTGTCAGTCCCTGTAAACACACATCTCTAACAGTGTGTACCTGTGTGTTGTGTATGTGTCAATCCCTGTAAACACACATCTCTAACCGTGTGTACCTGTGTGTTGTGTATGTGTCAGTCCCTGTAAACACACATCTCTAACAGTGTGTACCTGTGTGTTGTGTATGTGTCAGTCCCTGTAAACACACATCTCTAACCGTGTGTACCTCTGTGTTGTGTATGTGTCAGTCCCTGTAAACACACATCTCTAACCGTGTGTACCTGTGTGTTGTGTATGTGTCAGTCCCTGTAAACACACATCTCTAACCGTGTGTACCTGTGTGTTGTGTATGTGTCAGTCCCTGTAAACACACATCTCTAACCGTGTGTACCTGTGTGTTGTGTCAGTCCCTGTAAACACACATCTCTAACCGTGTGTACCTGTGTGTTGTGTATGTGTCAGTCCCTGTAAACACACATCTCTAACCGTGTGTACCTGTGTGTTGTGTATGTGTCAGTCCCTGTAAACACACATCTCTAACCGTGTGTACCTGTGTGTTGTGTATGTGTCAGTCCCTGTAAACACACATCTCTAACAGTGTGTACCTGTGTGTTGTGTATGTGTCAGTCCCTGTAAACACACATCTCTAACCGTGTGTACCTGTGTGTTGTGTATGTGTCAGTCCCTGTAAACACACATCTCTAACCGTGTGTACCTGTGTGTTGTGTATGTGTCAGTCCCTGTAAACACACATCTCTAACCGTGTGTACCTGTGTGTTGTGTATGTGTCAGTCCCTGTAAACACACATCTCTAACAGTGTGTACCTGTGTGTTGTGTATGTGTCAGTCCCTGTAAACACACATCTCTAACCGTGTGTACCTGTGTGTTGTGTATGTGTCAGTCCCTGTAAACACACATCTCTAACCGTGTGTACCTGTGTGTTGTGTATGTGTCAGTCCCTGTAAACACACATCTCTAACCGTGTGTTGTGTATGTGTCAGTCCCTGTAAACACACATCTCTAACAGTGTGTACCTGTGTGTTGTGTATGTGTCAGTCCCTGTAAACACACATCTCTAACCGTGTGTACCTGTGTGTTGTGTATGTGTCAGTCCCTGTAAACACACATCTCTAACAGTGTGTACCTGTGTGTTGTGTATGTGTCAATCCCTGTAAACACACATCTCTAACCGTGTGTACCTGTGTGTTGTGTATGTGTCAGTCCCTGTAAACACACATCTCTAACAGTGTGTACCTGTGTGTTGTGTATGTGTCAGTCCCTGTAAACACACATCTCTAACCGTGTGTACCTCTGTGTTGTGTATGTGTCAGTCCCTGTAAACACACATCTCTAACCGTGTGTACCTGTGTGTTGTGTATGTGTCAGTCCCTGTAAACACACATCTCTAACCGTGTGTACCTGTGTGTTGTGTATGTGTCAGTCCCTGTAAACACACATCTCTAACCGTGTGTACCTGTGTGTTGTGTCAGTCCCTGTAAACACACATCTCTAACCGTGTGTACCTGTGTGTTGTGTATGTGTCAGTCCCTGTAAACACACATCTCTAACCGTGTGTACCTGTGTGTTGTGTATGTGTCAGTCCCTGTAAACACACATCTCTAACCGTGTGTACCTGTGTGTTGTGTATGTGTCAGTCCCTGTAAACACACATCTCTAACAGTGTGTACCTGTGTGTTGTGTATGTGTCAGTCCCTGTAAACACACATCTCTAACCGTGTGTACCTGTGTGTTGTGTATGTGTCAGTCCCTGTAAACACACATCTCTAACCGTGTGTACCTGTGTGTTGTGTATGTGTCAGTCCCTGTGTCCTGTTGTCCTCACAGAGCACTGGTACAGCGCCCCCTGTCCCTCGGCTCGGGCAGCACAGCCTCCACCGCACTGAGCCAGTCCTCGTCCTCGTCGGGTCGAGGGTCCCTGCCCCCTGCCGCGTGTCCCGGGACAGAGGCCCTGTGCTCCGCTGAGGCCCTGTGCTCCTCTGAGGCCCTGTGCTCCTCTGAGGCCCTGTGCTCCTCTGAGGCCCTGTGCTCCTCTGAGGCCCTGTGCTCCTCTGAGGCCCTGTGCTCCTCTGAGGCCCTGTGCTCCGCTGAGGCCCTGTGCTCCGCTGAGGCTGCCATGGAGAACCAGCTCAACCACCTGCACCTGCTCCAGGACGAGCCCTGGGGAGCTCCTCTGCCCCGCCGTGAGTCACAGGGGGGAGGGCGAGGGGTGCGGGGGAGCAGGGGGGGGTCTCTTATGGGGGAGGGAGACGTCCTGGACACACACTCTGCACTACACCGTCACATGGCTCGTAAAACGGGAAAATGGGATCTGTGTTCTTCGCTGTTCCTTCGCTAACCGCAACGAGAAGCTAATGCTAATTGTGTTGTATGAAACTCCCCATAACAAATGAGCTAGCAACCTCAGTAAATACAAACCATTAGATACACTCGGCTGTTGTTCTAAACAAACATCCCCCTGTGGACACTCAGCGGTACTGCACCCTAACCTAAAACCAACAGGTTACAGGTGTTTAGGGCTCCACATCACACCTGCAATATCTCCCCCAAGTTTTAATGATGTGAAGAAACTGGCTCCTCCCCCTCCCTCACCCTCATCTCTGATGTCCTGTAGCTCCTCCCCCTCCCTCACCCTAATCTCTGATGTCCTGTAGCTCCTCCCCCTCCCTCACCCTAATCTCTGATGTCCTGTAGCTCCTCCCCGTCCCTCACCCTAATCTCTGATGTCCTGTAGCTCCTCCCCCTCCCTCACCCTAATCTCTGATGTCCTGTAGCTCCTCCCCGTCCCTCACCCTAATCTCTGATGTTCTGTAGCTCCTCCCCCTCCCTCACCCTAATCTCTGATGTTCTGTAGCTCCTCCCCCTCCCTCACCCTAATCTCTGATGTTCTGTAGCTCCTCCCCCTCCCTCACCCTAATCTCTGATGTTCTGTAGCTCCTCCCCCTCCCTCACCCTAATCTCTGATGTCCTGTAGCTCCTCCCCCTCCCTCACCCTAATCTCTGATGTCCTGTAGCTCCTCCCCCTCCCTCACCCTAATCTCTGATGTCCTGTAGCTCCTCCCCCTCCCTCACCCTAATCTCTGATGTTCTGTAGCTCCTCCCCCTCCCTCACCCTAATCTCTGATGTTCTGTAGCTCCTCCCCCTCTCTCACCCTAATCTCTGATGTCCTGGAGCTCCTCCCCCTCCCTCACCCTAATCTCTGATGTTCTGTAGCTCCTCCCCCTCCCTCACCCTAATCTCTGATGTTCTGGAGCTCCTCCCCCTCCCTCACCCTAATCTCTGATGTCCTGTAGCTCCTCCCCGTCCCTCACCCTAATCTCTGATGTTCTGTAGCTCCTCCCCCTCCCTCACCCTAATCTCTGATGTCCTGTAGCTCCTCCCCCTCCCTCACCCTAATCTCTGATGTTCTGTAGCTCCTCCCCCTCCCTCACCCTAATCTCTGATGTTCTGTAGCTCCTCCCCCTCCCTCACCCTAATCTCTGATGTCCTGTAGCTCCTCCCCCTCCCTCACCCTAATCTCTGATGTCCTGTAGCTCCTCCCCGTCCCTCACCCTAATCTCTGATGGTCTGTAGCTCCTCCCCCTCCCTCACCCTAATCTCTGATGTCCTGTAGCTCCTCCCCCTCCCTCACCCTAATCTCTGATGTTCTGTAGCTCCTCCCCCTCCCTCACCCTAATCTCTGATGTTCTGTAGCTCCTCCCCCTCCCTCACCCTAATCTCTGATGTCCTGTAGCTCCTCCCCCTCCCTCACCCTAATCTCTGATGTCCTGTAGCTCCTCCCCCTCCCTCACCCTAATCTCTGATGTCCTGTAGCTCCTCCCCGTCCCTCACCCTAATCTCTGATGTCCTGGAGCTCCTCCCCCTCCCTCACCCTAATCTCTGATGTCCTGTAGCTCCTCCCCGTCCCTCACCCTAATCTCTGATGTTCTGTAGCTCCTCCCCCTCCCTCACCCTAATCTCTGATGTTCTGTAGCTCCTCCCCCTCCCTCACCCTAATCTCTGATGTTCTGTAGCTCCTCCCCCTCCCTCACCCTAATCTCTGATGTTCTGTAGCTCCTCCCCCTCCCTCACCCTAATCTCTGATGTCCTGTAGCTCCTCCCCCTCCCTCACCCTAATCTCTGATGTCCTGTAGCTCCTCCCCCTCCCTCACCCTAATCTCTGATGTCCTGTAGCTCCTCCCCCTCCCTCACCCTAATCTCTGATGTTCTGTAGCTCCTCCCCCTCCCTCACCCTAATCTCTGATGTTCTGTAGCTCCTCCCCCTCTCTCACCCTAATCTCTGATGTCCTGGAGCTCCTCCCCCTCCCTCACCCTAATCTCTGATGTTCTGTAGCTCCTCCCCCTCCCTCACCCTAATCTCTGATGTCCTGGAGCTCCTCCCCCTCCCTCACCCTAATCTCTGATGTCCTGTAGCTCCTCCCCGTCCCTCACCCTAATCTCTGATGTTCTGGAGCTCCTCCCCCTCCCTCACCCTAATCTCTGATGTCCTGTAGCTCCTCCCCGTCCCTCACCCTAATCTCTGATGTCCTGTAGCTCCTCCCCCTCCCTCACCCTAATCTCTGATGTTCTGTAGCTCCTCCCCCTCCCTCACCCTAATCTCTGATGTTCTGTAGCTCCTCCCCCTCCCTCACCCTAATCTCTGATGTTCTGTAGCTCCTCCCCCTCCCTCACCCTAATCTCTGATGTCCTGTAGCTCCTCCCCCTCCCTCACCCTAATCTCTGATGTCCTGTAGCTCCTCCCCCTCCCTCACCCTAATCTCTGATGTCCTGTAGCTCCTCCCCGTCCCTCACCCTAATCTCTGATGTACTGTAGCTCCTCCCCCTCCCTCACCCTAATCTCTGATGTCCTGTAGCTCCTCCCCGTCCCTCACCCTAATCTCTGATGTCCTGGAGCTCCTCCCCCTCCCTCACCCTAATCTCTGATGTCCTGTAGCTCCTCCCCGTCCCTCACCCTAATCTCTGATGTTCTGTAGCTCCTCCCCCTCCCTCACCCTAATCTCTGATGTTCTGTAGCTCCTCCCCCTCCCTCACCCTAATCTCTGATGTTCTGTAGCTCCTCCCCCTCCCTCACCCTAATCTCTGATGTTCTGTAGCTCCTCCCCCTCCCTCACCTAATCTCTGATGTGCTGTAGCTCCTCCCCCTCCCTCACCCTAATCTCTGATGTCCTGTAGCTCCTCCCCCTCCCTCACCCTAATCTCTGATGTTCTGTAGCTCCTCCCCCTCCCTCACCCTAATCTCTGATGTTCTGTAGCTCCTCCCCCTCTCTCACCCTAATCTCTGATGTCCTGGAGCTCCTCCCCCTCCCTCACCCTAATCTCTGATGTTCTGTAGCTCCTCCCCCTCCCTCACCCTAATCTCTGATGTCCTGGAGCTCCTCCCCCTCCCTCACCCTAATCTCTGATGTCCTGTAGCTCCTCCCCGTTCCTCACCCTAATCTCTGATGTTCTGGAGCTCCTCCCCCTCCCTCACCCTAATCTCTGATGTCCTGTAGCTCCTCCCCGTCCCTCACCCTAATCTCTGATGTCCTGTAGCTCCTCCCCCTCCCTCACCCTAATCTCTGATGTCCTGTAGCTCCTCCCCCTCCCTCACCCTAATCTCTGATGTTCTGTAGCTCCTCCCCCTCCCTCACCCTAATCTCTGATGTTCTGTAGCTCCTCCCCGTCCCTCACCCTAATCTCTGATGTTCTGTAGCTCCTCCCCCTCCCTCACCCTAATCTCTGATGTTCTGTAGCTCCTCCCCGTCCCTCACCCTAATCTCTGATGTCCTGTAGCTCCTCCCCCTCCCTCACCCTAATCTCTGATGTCCTGTAGCTCCTCCCCCTCCCTCACCCTAATCTCTGATGTCCTGTAGCTCCTCCCCCTCCCTCACCCTAATCTCTGATGTCCTGTAGCTCCTCCCCCTCCCTCACCCTAATCTCTGATGTCCTGTAGCTCCTCCCCCTCCCTCACCCTAATCTCTGATGTTCTGTAGCTCCTCCCCCTCCCTCACCCTAATCTCTGATGTCCTGTAGCTCCTCCCCGTCCCTCACCCTAATCTCTGATGTCCTGGAGCTCCTCCCCCTCCCTCACCCGTGGTCCTTGTCTTCTGCAGAGGACAGCAGGGACTCCTCGAGGGGCTGCCTGTCTGCATTGGGGACTGAGGTGGTGGACTCCCCCTCCTCCCTCCTATCCCCCTCCCCCCTCCTCTCCCCCTCCTCCCTCCTCTTCCCCTCCCCCTCCCCCCTCCTCTCCCCCTCCTCCCTCCTCTTCCCCTCCCCCTCCCCCCTCATCTCCCCCTCCTCCCTCCTCTCCCGTCGCAGCTCTCTGTGCCGCACCCCCAGCTCCTCAGGCCTGTCCCACAGAGCTCGAGGTCTGGTCCACAAGTCCCACAGCCTGCCCACGGTCCAGGTACACACACACAACACACTCAGACAAACACACACACACAGACACACACAACACACTCAGACAAACACACACACACAACACACTCAGACAAACACACACACACAAACACACACAACACACTCAGACAAACACACACACACACAGACACACACAACACACTCAGACAAACACACACACACAACACACTCAGACAAACACACACACACACACAGACACACACAACACACTCAGACAAACACACACACACAGACACACACAACACACTCAGACAAACACACACACACAACACACTCAGACAAACACACACACAACACACTCAGACAAACACACACACACAGACACACACAACACACTCAGACAAACACACACACACAGACACACACAACACACTCAGACAAACACACACACACACAGACACACACAACACACTCAGACAAACACACACACACAGACACACACAACACACTCAGACAAACACACACACACACAGACACACACAACACACTCAGACAAACACACACACACACACACACACACACACACAGTACTGGTGTACGATGGTATAAGTACTGGTGTACAATGGTATAAGTACTGGTGTACGATGGTGTGAGTACTGGTGTACGATGGTGTGAGTGCTGGTGTACGATGGTGTGAGTGCTGGTGTACAATGGTGTGAGTGCTGGTGTACGATGGTATAAGTACTGGTGTACGATGGTGTGAGTGCTGGTGTACGATGGTATAAGTGCTGGTGTACGATGGTATAAGTACTGGTGTACAATGGTGTGAGTACTGGTGTACGATGGTGTGAGTACTGGTGTACGATGGTGTGAGTGCTGGTGTACGATGGTGTCAGTGCTGGTGTACAATGGTGTGAGTGCTGGTGTACGATGGTATAAGTACTGGTGTACGATGGTGTGAGTACTGGTGTACGATGGTGTGAGTGCTGGTGTACGATGGTGTGAGTGCTGGTGTACGATGGTATAAGTACTGGTGTACGATGGTGCGAGTACTGGTGTACGATGGTGTCAGTACTGGTGTACGATGGTGTGAGTACTGGTGTACGATGGTGTGAGTGCTGGTGTACAATGGTATAAGTACTGGTGTACGATGGTGCGAGTACTGGTGTACGATGGTGTCAGTACTGGTGTACGATGGTGTCAGTGCTGGTGTACGATGGTGTCAGTGCTGGTGTACGATGGTGTCAGTGCTGGTGTACGATGGTATAAGTACTGGTGTACGATGGTGTCAGTACTGGTGTACGATGGTGTCAGTACTGGTGTACGATGGTGTCAGTGCTGGTGTACGATGGTGTCAGTGCTGGTGTACGATGGTGTCAGTACTGGTGTACGATGGTGTCAGTACTGGTGTACGATGGTGTCAGTACTGGTGTACGATGGTGTCAGTACTGGTGTACGATGGTGTCAGTACTGGTGTACGATGGTGTGAGTGCTGGTGTACGATGGTGTGAGTGCTGGTGTACGATGGTATAAGTACTGGGTGTACGATGGTGCGAGTACTGGTGTACGATGGTGTCAGTACTGGTGTACGATGGTGTCAGTGCTGGTGTACGATGGTGTCAGTGCTGGTGTACGATGGTGTCAGTGCTGGTGTACGATGGTATAAGTACTGGTGTACGATGGTGTCAGTACTGGTGTACGATGGTGTCAGTACTGGTGTACGATGGTGTCAGTACTGGTGTACGATGGTGTGAGTGCTGGTGTACGATGGTATAAGTGCTGGTGTACGATGGTGTCAGTACTGGTGTACGATGGTGTCAGTGCTGGTGTACGATGGTGTCAGTGCTGGTGTACGATGGTGTCAGTGCTGGTGTACGATGGTATAAGTACTGGTGTACGATGGTGTCAGTACTGGTGTACGATGGTGTGAGTACTGGTGTACGATGGTGTCAGTGCTGGTGTACGATGGTGTGAGTACTGGTGTACGATGGTGTCAGTGCTGGTGTACGATGGTATAAGTGCTGGTGTACGATGGTGTCAGTGCTGGTGTACGATGGTGTCTTTAACCTGGTCTCTCGTCACAGGGAGAAACATCCGTCATCGGAAAATCTACTGAAGTCTGAGTTTGGTCTGAACCTCTGACCTGGAGCTGCCTTTAGCTCCGTCCATGCTGTAGGAACACGCCCCACATGGGCCTCGACCCCATCATGGACTTGTCTGTGATGTTTTCTGGGGCCCCGAACCTGCTGTTGTCAGGGACCTCAGCTTTAATGAGCATAACTTTGTTTCTGGCAGATCTGTGGAACATTCACTTTAAACAAACTATTTTTATTTTCTTTATTTTTGTGGAAAACGTCACAAACGGCCAGTTTTTGTTCTTCATAAAAACAGCATCTTTTCTACAAATAAACAATAATATAATTTATACTTTTATTTAGACAGAAACATGTGAGGATTTTAATATAGAAGTGTTTTATTGTTGCTACATGGTTTCTGCTGTAGTTTGTGTTGCTTTGATAGTTGTGTGTTGTGTATTGAAAGTGTGTGACCATTTATCCACGTGTTTTTATGAGAAGTGGACGTTTAAGGACTTTAAGGTCATATCTGTACTTCCTCCATCGCCTCCGCTCCAGCTCTGACCCCGAGGTTTCTATTCCCTGGATTTTCAAACAGGTCTGAGGAGTTTTGGTCCGGTATGCGCCCCGCGGGGAGGCTGCCGAAGGCTGAGGCCGTAGACCCAGGACTGAGGCTGCAGACCCAGGACTGAGGCCGTAGACCCAGGACTGAGGCTGTAGACCCAAGACTGAGGCTGTAGACCCAGGACTGAGGCTGTAGACTCAGGACTGAGGCTGTAGACCCAGGACTGAGGCTGTAGACCCAGGACTGAGGCCGTAGACCCAGGACTGAGGCTGTAGACCCAAGACTGAGGCTGTAGACCCAGGACTGAGGCTGTAGACTCAGGACTGAGGCCGTGGACCCAGGACTGAGGCCGTAGACCCAGGACTGAGGCTGTAGACCCAGGACTGAGGCCGTGGACCCAGGACTGAGGCTGTAGACCCAGGACTGAGGCTGTAGACCCAGGATTGAGGCCGTGGACCCAGGACTGAGGCTGTAGACCCAGGACTGAGGCCGTGGACCCAGGACTGAGGCCGTAGATCCAGGACTGAAGCCGTAGACCCAGGACTGAAGCCGTAGACCCAGGACTGAGGCTGTAGACCCAGGACTGAGGCCGTAGACCCAGGACTGAGGCCGTAGACCCAGGCCGTAGACCCAGGACTGAGGCCGTAGACCCAGGACTGAGGCCGTAGACCCAGGACTGAGGCCGTAGACCCAGGACTGAGGCCGTAGACCCAGGACTGAGGCCGTAGACCCAGGACTGAGACTGTAGACCCAGGTCTGAGGCTGTAGACCCAGGACTGAGACTGTAGACCCAGGACTGAGGCCGTGGACCCAGGACTGAGGCCGTAGACCCAGGACTGAGGCCGTAGACCCAGGACTGAAGCCGTAGACCCAGGACTGAGGCCGTAGACCCAGGACTGAGGCCGTAGACCCAGGACTGAGGCCGTAGACCCAGGACTGAGGCCGTAGACCCAGGACTGAGGCCGTAGACCCAGGACTGAGGCCGTAGACCCAGGACTGAGGCTGTAGACCCAGGACTGAGGCTGTAAATCTTCTTCATTGGACCATTTTTTTGTCTTCAGTTTTATGTGTTTTAAAACAGTGACATTTTTAACTTGATTAAATCATTTATGAACAAAACCAAACGTTCTGTGTCTCTTTGGTCTGAATCATCAACTGTTAAATCCGCCGCTCCATCCATCCATCCATCCATTTTCTTCCCCTTAATCCATGTCTGGGTCAGGGGGGTGGCAGTCAGAGCACCAGCCTCTCACTGATCCTCTGCAGGAGCTGAGTCCACAGGAGCTGAGATCTTTCAGTGGGGGCTTCAGGCAAAGTGGGGTTAAGTGTCTTGCCCAAGGACACAACGACAGCAGTCATCAGTGGGAGTCGTGAAGTAGGTCTTATGGTGGATTTGAACCCACAACCTTCAGGCTCAAAGGCCAATGCTCTACCAACTGAGCCACTGTCGCCTCACACATATATTAACATCAACAGTAAAATCCGCTGCTTCACCCAACCCCTGCAGAGGACCAGAGGCACTGTCAGACACACACCAGCAGAGGGCCCTGTCAGACACACACCAGCAGAGGGCCCTGTCAGACACACACCAGCAGAGGGCGCTGTCAGACACACACCAGCAGAGGGCGCTGTCAGACACACACCAGCAGGGAGCGCTGTCAGACACACACCAGCAGAGGGCACTGTCAGACACACACCAGCAGAGGGCGCTGTCAGACACACACCAGCAGGGAGCGCTGTCAGACACACACCAGCAGAGGGCGCTGTCAGACACACACCAGCAGAGGGCGCTGTCAGACACACACCAGCAGAGGGCGCTGTCAGACACACACCAGCAGAGGGCGCTGTCAGACACACACCAGCAGAGGGCGCTGTCAGACACACACCAGCAGAGGGCGCTGTCAGACACACACCAGCAGAGGGCGCTGTCAGACACACACCAGCAGGGGGCGCTGTCAGACACACACCAGCAGAGGGCGCTGTCAGACACACACCAGCAGGGGGCGCTGTCAGACACACACCAGCAGAGGGCGCTGTCAGACACACACCAGCAGAGGGCGCTGTCAGACACACACCAGCAGAGGGCACTGTCAGACACACACCAGCAGAGGGCACTGTCAGACACACACCAGCAGAGGGCCCTGTCAGACACACACACAGCAGAGGGCGCTGTCAGACACACACCAGCAGAGGGCGCTGTCAGACACACACCAGCAGAGGGCACTGTCAGACACACACCAGCAGAGGGCGCTGTCAGACACACACCAGCAGAGGGCGCTGTCAGACACACACCAGCAGAGGGCACTGTCAGACACACACCAGCAGAGGGCGCTGTCAGACACACACCAGCAGAGGGCACTGTCAGACACACACCAGCAGAGGGCGCTGTCAGACACACACCAGCAGAGGGCGCTGTCAGACACACACCAGCAGAGGGCGCTGTCAGACACACACCAGCAGGGGGCGCTGTCAGACACACACCAGCAGAGGGCGCTGTCAGACACACACCAGCAGGGGGCGCTGTCAGACACACACCAGCAGAGGGCGCTGTCAGACACACACACCAGCAGAGGGCACTGTCAGACACACACAGCAGAGGGCGCTGTCAGACACACACCAGCAGAGGGCACTGTCAGACACACACCAGCAGAGGGCGCTGTCAGACACACACCAGCAGAGGGCCCTGTCAGACACACACCAGCAGAGGGCGCTGTCAGACACACACCAGCAGAGGGCACTGTCAGACACACACCAGCAGAGGGCGCTGTCAGACACACACCAGCAGAGGGCGCTGTCAGACACACACCAGCAGAGGGCGCTGTCAGACACACACCAGCAGAGGGCGCTGTCAGACACACACCAGCAGAGGGCGCTGTCAGACACACACCAGCAGAGGGCCCTGTCAGACACACACCAGCAGGGGGCGCTGTCAGACACACACCAGCAGAGGGCGCTGTCAGACACACACCAGCAGAGGGCCCTGTCAGACACACACCAGCAGAGGGCCCTGTCAGACACACACCAGCAGAGGGCGCTGTCAGACACACACCAGCAGGGGGCGCTGTCAGACACACACCAGCAGAGGGCGCTGTCAGACACACACCAGCAGGGAGCGCTGTCAGACACACACCAGCAGAGGGCGCTGTCAGACACACACCAGCAGAGGGCGCTGTCAGACACACACCAGCAGAGGGCGCTGTCAGACACACACCAGCAGAGGGCGCTGTCAGACACACACCAGCAGAGGGCGCTGTCAGACACACACCAGCAGAGGGCGCTGTCAGACACACACCAGCAGAGGGCGCTGTCAGACACACACCAGCAGGGGGCGCTGTCAGACACACACCAGCAGAGGGCGCTGTCAGACACACACCAGCAGGGGGCGCTGTCAGACACACACCAGCAGAGGGCGCTGTCAGACACACACCAGCAGAGGGCGCTGTCAGACACACACCAGCAGAGGGCGCTGTCAGACACACACCAGCAGAGGGCACTGTCAGACACACACCAGCAGAGGGCGCTGTCAGACACACACCAGCAGAGGGCGCTGTCAGACACACACCAGCAGAGGGCGCTGTCAGACACACACCAGCAGAGGGCACTGTCAGACACACACCAGCAGAGGGCGCTGTCAGACACACACCAGCAGAGGGCGCTGTCAGACACACACCAGCAGAGGGCACTGTCAGACACACACCAGCAGAGGGCGCTGTCAGACACACACCAGCAGAGGGCACTGTCAGACACACACCAGCAGAGGGCGCTGTCAGACACACACCAGCAGAGGGCGCTGTCAGACACACACCAGCAGAGGGCGCTGTCAGACACACACCAGCAGGGGGCGCTGTCAGACACACACCAGCAGAGGGCGCTGTCAGACACACACCAGCAGGGGGCGCTGTCAGACACACACCAGCAGAGGGCGCTGTCAGACACACACCAGCAGAGGGCACTGTCAGACACACACCAGCAGAGGGCGCTGTCAGACACACACCAGCAGAGGGCACTGTCAGACACACACCAGCAGAGGGCGCTGTCAGACACACACCAGCAGAGGGCCCTGTCAGACACACACCAGCAGAGGGCGCTGTCAGACACACACCAGCAGAGGGCACTGTCAGACACACACCAGCAGAGGGCGCTGTCAGACACACACCAGCAGAGGGCGCTGTCAGACACACACCAGCAGAGGGCGCTGTCAGACACACACCAGCAGAGGGCGCTGTCAGACACACACCAGCAGAGGGCGCTGTCAGACACACACCAGCAGAGGGCCCTGTCAGACACACACCAGCAGGGGGCGCTGTCAGACACACACCAGCAGAGGGCGCTGTCAGACACACACCAGCAGAGGGCCCTGTCAGACACACACCAGCAGAGGGCCCTGTCAGACACACACCAGCAGAGGGCGCTGTCAGACACACACCAGCAGGGGGCGCTGTCAGACACACACCAGCAGAGGGCGCTGTCAGACACACACCAGCAGAGGGCACTGTCAGACACACACCAGCAGAGGGCGCTGTCAGACACACACCAGCAGAGGGCGCTGTCAGACACACACCAGCAGAACACACACCAGCAGGGAGCGCTGTCAGACACACACCAGCAGAGGGCACTGTCAGACACACACCAGCAGGGGGCGCTGTCAGACACACACCAGCAGAACACACACCAGCAGAGGGCGCTGTCAGACACACACCAGCAGAGGGCGCTGTCAGACACACACCAGCAGGGGGCGCTGTCAGACACACACCAGCAGAGGGCGCTGTCAGACACACACCAGCAGGGGGCGCTGTCAGACACACACCAGCAGAACACACACCAGCAGAGGGCGCTGTCAGACACACACCAGCAGGGAGCGCTGTCAGACACACACCAGCAGAGGGCACTGTCAGACACACACCAGCAGAGGGCCCTGTCAGACACACACCAGCAGAGGGCACTGTCAGACACACACCAGCAGAGGGCGCTGTCAGACACACACCAGCAGGGGGCGCTGTCAGACACACACCAGCAGAGGGCACTGTCAGACACACACCAGCAGAGGGCGCTGTCAGACACACACCAGCAGAGGGCGCTGTCAGACACACACCAGCAGAGGGCGCTGTCAGACACACACCAGCAGAGGGCGCTGTCAGACACACACCAGCAGAGGGCGCTGTCAGACACACACCAGCAGAGGGCGCTGTCAGACACACACCAGCAGAGGGCGCTGTCAGACACACACCAGCAGAGGGCACTGTCAGACACACACCAGCAGAGGGCGCTGTCAGACACACACCAGCAGGGGGCGCTGTCAGACACACACCAGCAGGGGGCGCAGTCAGACACACACCAGCAGAGGGCGCTGTCAGACACACACCAGCAGAGGGCGCTGTCAGACACACACCAGCAGAGGGCGCTGTCAGACACACACCAGCAGAACACACACCAGCAGGGAGCGCTGTCAGACACACACCAGCAGAGGGCGCTGTCAGACACACACCAGCAGAGGGCGCTGTCAGACACACACCAGCAGAGGGCGCTGTCAGACACACACCAGCAGAGGGCGCTGTCAGACACACACCAGCAGAGGGCGCTGTCAGACACACACCAGCAGAGGGCCCTGTCAGACACACACCAGCAGGGGGCGCAGTCAGACACACACCAGCAGAGGGCGCTGTCAGACACACACCAGCAGAGGGCGCTGTCAGACACACACCAGCAGAGGGCGCTGTCAGACACACACCAGCAGAGGGCGCTGTCAGACACACACCAGCAGAACACACACCAGCAGGCGCTGTCAGACACACACCAGCAGAGGGCGCTGTCAGACACACACCAGCAGAGGGCGCTGTGTAGTGGACCTGCAGACACATTAACAACACTGCTTTGGGTAGTTCTCCTGGAGCCCGTTTATTTCACGTCCTCGTGTTCATTCAACACTCCAGGTCTCCCCCTGGTGGCTACTCCTTATAACAGCACGATTACACCACAAGCTGAAAATTCACAATCGATTGATTTGAGGCAAAAGGAACATTTTGAAGATTCAAAATAAACTGATTTAAAATAAACATGTTTTAGTTTAACCAGGTTCACTTTCTCTGATAAAAAGTGTCGTTTTGAAAATAGCAGGAATCTGTAGTTTGTCCCATGATCGTTCTGTGAAGAGCCAGGTCTATTTTTGTACCAAAAACAAAGTGTCTCCTCCTTCAGCAAAACCTTTCAAACTTCTGATAATACACAGTCTATGGAGAAAACACGGCGGTGGTGGCGCCCCCTGTGGACACTTTCTGTATTTGTTATCGCTGCATTTCCTGAGTCTGTCCAGAAACATCACATTTAAACACTGGACACAGAGAAACCACATTTAATGATGTCACACAAACGTTAATGAGGAGTTTACTTGTACATGGTCAGAAGGAGCCACGTCTCACTGAGCTAGCTTTAGCATTAGCAATCTGTGTTTTTGCATCTTCCTGTTCTGTGATTGGTCCAGAGGGAGAGACCAGAGAGAGACTATAGAGACTATAGAGAGACCAAAGAGAGAGACCAGAGAGAGAGACCAGAGAGAGACCAAAGAGAGACTATAGAGAGACCAAAGAGAGACCAGAGAGAGAGACTATAGAGAGAGAGACCAGAGAGAGACCAGAGAGAGACCAGAGAGACTATAGAGAGACCAGAGAGACCAAAGAGAGACCAGAGAAACAAGAGAGAGACCAGAGAGACCAAAGAGAGACCAGAGAAACAAGAGAGAGACCAGAGAGAGAGACCAGAGAGACTATAGAGAGACCATTTATTTATTTATTTATTTATTACTGGGACAGTGCATATTAATGAACATTTCTGTAAATATGCCAGAATTAGCCAAACGGCTATTTTTCATCCGTAGTCCCATGTCTCCTGAAAAGATAAAAACAGACCAGAGAGACTATAGAGAGACCAAAGAGAGAGACCAGAGAGAGACCAAAGAGAGACTATAGAGAGACAAGAGACCAGAGAGAGAGACCAGAGAGACCAAAGAGAGAGACTATAGAGAGACCAAAGAGAGACTATAGAGAGAGACCAAAGAGAGACTATAGAGAGACAAGAGACCAGAGAGAGAGAGACTATAGAGAGACCAAAGAGAGACTATAGAGAGACCAAAGAGAGAGACTATAGAGAGACCAGAGAGACTATAGAGAGACCAAAGAGAGAGACTATAGAGAGACCAGAGAGACTATAGAGAGACCAAAGAGAGAGACTATAGAGAGACCAGAGAGAGAGAGACCAGAGAGACCAAAGAGAGACCAGAGAAACAAGAGAGAGACCAAAGAGAGAGAGACCAAAGAGAGAGACTATAGAGAGACCAAAGAGAGAGACCAGAGAGAGACCAGAGAGAGAGACCAGAGAGACCAAAGAGAGAGACTATAGAGAGACAAAGAGAGACCAAAGAGAGAGACCAAAGAGAGAGACCAGAGAGAGACCAAAGAGAGAGACTATAGAGAGACCAAAGAGAGAGACCAGGCTGTAACTTGTGAAACCCGGAGACAGTTGTAGATTCTTGTTTATTAAAAGTGTACGTTTCGTCGTCACAAACTCAAACATTTCAAACCCACATTTTCTCTGTTTTCTCTGGAGATAAAAGTGAAACTAAAACCACCGCAAACATAAAAACACTGGATCAGCGTCTGTCGGGATTCGAGCTCAGGAAAAGTCTCACGAAAGAAGGTTCTCCACGAGTAACGTACGGAGGAGATCTGCGCTCCAGCCACACTTTCTTCTGCTTTATCCATGGCCGGGTCGCACAGGCAGCCGTCAAGGTGAAACTAAAAGAGGGGTTTTGGACTGGACCAGCGTCTGACCAGGGTCTCTGGACCAGGGTCAGGACCAGCGTCTGGACCAGGGTCTGGACCAGCGTCTGGACCAGGGTCTGGACCAGCGTCTGGACCAGGGTGTTGAGCTGGTGACGGAATCTGAGGGAGAAGCAGGCTCGAAAGTCTCTGTCCTTCAGTGTGTGTGTGTGTGTGTGTGTGTGTGTGTGTGTGTGTGTGTGTGTGTGTGTGTGTGTGTGTGTGTGTGTGTGTGTGTGTGTGTGTGTGTGTGTGTGTGTGTGTGTGTGTGTGTGTGTGTGTGTGTGTGTGTGTGGTGTGTGTGTGTGTGTGTGTGTGTGTGTGTGTGTGTGTGTGTGTGTGTGTGTGTGTGTGTGTGTGTGTGTGTGCGTGTTGTTGTGTGTGTGTGTGTCGTGTGTGTTTCAGTCGGTGGAGAACAGGTCTCCTGCAGAGGGCAGCGGGGCCAGGCCTCCTGTGACGTTGGGCAGCAGGGACAGGTCCGGCAGACTCTGGATGTGAGACTTCAGCTCCTTCCTCACATGCGTCACTCTGGCCAGTTTCTGTTTGTACTCCTGAGGAGCAGAGGAGGAGGACAATGAGGAGGCGCAGAGGAGGAGGAGGAGAATGAGGAGGCGCAGAGGAGGAGGACAATGAGGAGGCGCAGAGGAGGAGGAGATGAGGAGGCGCAGAGGAGGAGCAGAGGAGGAGGAGGACAATGAGGAGGAGCAGAGGAGGAGGAGCAGAGGAGGAGGAGCAGAGGAGGAGGAGGACAATGAGGAGGCGCAGAGGAGGAGGAGGACAATGAGGAGGAGCAGAGGAGGAGGAGCAGAGGAGGAGGAGGACAATGAGGAGGCGCAGAGGGAGGAGGAGGACAATGAGGAGGAGCAGAGGAGGAGGAGGACAATGAGGAGGAGCAGAGGAGGAGGACAATGAGGAGGAGCAGAGGAGAAGAGGAGGACAATGAGGAGGCGCAGAGGAGGACAATGAGGAGGAGCAGAGGAGGAGGAGGACAATGAGGAGGCGCAGAGGAGGACAATGAGGAGGAGCAGAGGAGGAGGACAATGAGGAGGAGCAGAGGAGGAGGAGGACAATGAGGAGGAGCAGAGGAGGAGGAGGAGAATGAGGAGGCGCAGAGGAGGAGGACAATGAGGAGGCGCAGAGGAGGACAATGAGGAGGAGCAGAGGAGGAGGAGGACAATGAGGAGGAGCAGAGGAGGAGGAGCAGAGGAGGAGGAGGACAATGAGGAGGCGCAGAGGAGGAGGAGGACAATGAGGAGGAGCAGAGGAGGAGGAGCAGAGGAGGAGGAGCAGAGGAGGAGGAGGACAATGAGGAGGCGCAGAGGAGGAGGAGGACAATGAGGAGGAGCAGAGGAGGAGGAGGACAATGAGGAGGAGCAGAGGAGGACAATGAGGAGGAGCAGAGAAGGAGGAGGACAATGAGGAGGCGCAGAGGAGGAGGAGGACAATGAGGAGGAGCAGAGGAGGAGGAGGACAATGAGGAGGAGCAGAGGAGGACAATGAGGAGGAGCAGAGGAGGAGGACAATGAGGAGGCGCAGAGGAGGAGGAGGACAATGAGGAGGAGCAGAGGAGGAGGAGGACAATGAGGAGGAGCAGAGGAGGAGGAGGACAATGAGGAGGAGCAGATGAGGAGGAGGACAATGAGGAGGAGCAGAGGAGAAGAGGAGGACAATGAGGAGGCGCAGAGGAGGAGGAGGACAATGAGGAGGCGCAGAGGAGGAGGAGGACAATGAGGAGGAGCAGAGGAGGAGGACAATGAGGAGGAGCAGAGGAGGAGGAGGACAATGAGGAGGAGCAGAGGAGGAGGACAATGAGGAGGCGCAGAGGAGGAGGAGGACAATGAGGAGGAGCAGAGGAGGAGGAGGACAATGAGGAGGAGCAGAGGAGGAGGAGGACAATGAGGAGGAGCAGAGGAGAAGAGGAGGACAATGAGGAGGCGCAGAGGAGGAGGAGGACAATGAGGAGGAGCAGAGGAGGACAATGAGGAAGAGCAGAGGAGGACAATGAGGAAGAGCAGAGGAGGAGGAGGACAATGAGGAGGAGCAGAGGAGGAGGACAATGAGGAGGATCAGAGGAGGAGGAGGACAATGAGGAGGAGCAGAGGAGGAGGAGGACAATGAGGAGGAGAAGAGGAGGACAATGAGGAGGAGCAGAGGAGGAGGAGGACAATGAGGAGGAGCAGAGGAGGACAATGAGGAGGCGCAGAGGAGGAGGAGGACAATGAGGAGGAGCAGAGGAGGAGGACAATGAGGAGGAGCAGAGGAGGAGGAGGACAATGAGGAGGCGCAGAGGAGGAGGACAATGAGGAGGCGCAGAGGAGGAGGACAATGAGGAGGAGCAGAGGAGGAGGAGGACAATGAGGAGGAGCAGAGGAGGAGGACAATGAGGAGGAGCAGAGGAGAAGAATGAAGAGGCGCAGGAGGAGGACAATGAGGAGGAGCAGGACAATGAGGAGGAGCAGAGGAGAAGAGGAGGACAATGAGGAGGAGCAGAGGAGGAGGAGGACAATGAGGAGGCGCAGAGGAGGAGGAGGACAATGAGGAGGCGCAGAGGAGGAGGAGGACAATGAGGAGGAGCAGAGGAGGAGGACAATGAGGAGGCGCAGAGGAGGAGGAGGACAATGAGGAGGAGCAGAGGAGGAGGAGGACAATGAGGAGGAGCAGAGGAGAAGAGGAGGACAATGAGGAAGAGCAGAGGAGGACAATGAGGAGGAGCAGAGGAGGAGGAGGACAATGAGGAGGAGCAGAGGAGAAGAGGAGGACAATGAGGAGGAGCAGAGGAGGAGGAGGACAATGAGGAGGAGCAGAGGAGGAGGAGGACAATGAGGAGGAGCAGAGGAGGAGGAGGACAATGAGGAGGAGCAGAGGAGGAGGAGGACAATGAGGAGGCGCAGAGGAGGAGGAGGACAATGAGGAGGAGCAGAGGAGGAGGAGGACAATGAGGAGGCGCAGAGGAGGAGGAGGACAATGAGGAGGAGCAGAGGAGGAGGACAATGAGGAGGCGCAGAGGAGGAGGAGGACAATGAGGAGGAGCAGAGGAGAAGAGGAGGACAATGAGGCGCAGAGGAGGACAATGAGGAGGAGCAGAGGAGGAGGACAATGAGGAGGAGGACAATGCGGAGGAGCAGAGGAGAAGAGGAGGACAATGAGGAGGAGCAGAGGAGGAGGAGGACAATGAGGAGGAGCAGAGGAGGAGGAGGACAATGAGGAGGAGCAGAGGAGAAGAGGAGGACAATGAGGAGGAGCAGAGGAGGAGGAGGACAATGAGGAGGAGCAGAGGAGGAGGAGGACAATGAGGAGGAGCAGAGGAGGAGGACAATGAGGAGGAGCAGAGGAGAAGAGGAGGACAATGAGGAGGCGCAGAGGAGGAGGAGGACAATGAGGAGGAGCAGAGGAGGAGGAGGACAATGAGGAGGCGCAGAGGAGGAGGAGGACAATGAGGAGGAGCAGAGGAGGAGGACAATGAGGAGGCGCAGAGGAGGAGGAGGACAATGAGGAGGAGCAGAGGAGAAGAGGAGGACAATGAGGAGGCGCAGAGGAGGACAATGAGGAGGAGCAGAGGAGGAGGACAATGAGGAGGAGGACAATGCGGAGGAGCAGAGGAGAAGAGGAGGAGAGGAGGAGGAGGACAATGAGGAGGAGCAGAGGAGGAGGACAATGAGGAGCAGAGGAGGAGGAGGACAATGAGGAGGAGCAGAGGAGGAGGAGGACAATGAGGAGGAGCAGAGGAGGAGGAGGACAATGAGGAGGAGCAGAGGAGAAGAGGAGGACAATGAGGAGGAGCAGAGGAGGAGGAGGACAATGAGGAGGAGCAGAGGAGGAGGACAATGAGGAGGAGCAGAGGAGGAGGAGGACAATGAGGAGGAGCAGAGGAGGAGGACAATGAGGAGGCGCAGAGGAGGAGGGACAATGAGGAGGCGCAGAGGAGGAGGACAATGAGGAGGAGCAGAGGAGAAGAGGAGGACAATGAGGAGGCGCAGAGGAGGAGGAGGACAATGAGGAGGAGCAGAGGAGGAGGAGGACAATGAGGAGGAGCAGAGGAGGAGGACAATGAGGAGGAGAAGAGGAGGACAATGAGGAGGAGCAGAGGAGGAGGACAATGAGGAGGAGCAGAGGGGGGAGGACAATGAGGAGGCGCAGAGGAGGAGGACAATGAGGAGGAGCAGAGGAGAAGAGGAGGACAATGAGGAGGCGCAGAGGAGGACAATGAGGAGGAGCAGAGGAGGAGGAGGACAATGAGGAGGAGCAGAGGAGAAGGACAATGAGGAGGAAAGGAGGACAATGAGGAGGAGCAGAGGAGGAGGAGGACAATGAGGAAGAGCAGAGGAGGAGGAGGACAATGAGGAGGAGCAGAGGAGGAGGAGGACAATGAGGAGGAGCAGAGGAGAAGAGGAGGACAATGAGGAGGCGCAGAAAAGGAGGAGGACAATGAGGAGGAGCAGAGGAGGAGGAGGACAATGAGGAGGAGCAGAGGAGGAGGAGGACAATGAGGAGGAGCAGAGGAGGAGCAGAGGAGAGGAGGACAATGAGGAGGAGCAGAGGAGGACAATGAGGAGGAGCAGAGGAGAGAGGAGGACAATGAGGAGGAGCAGAGGAGAAGAGAGGACAATGAGGAGGGCAGAGAGGAGGAGGACAATGAGGAGGAGCAGAGGAGGAGGAGGACAATGAGGAGGAGCAGAGGAGGAGGAGGACAATGAGGAGGAGCAGAGGAGAAGAGGAGGACAATGAGGAGGCGCAGAGGAGGAGGAGGACAATGAGGAGGAGCAGAGGAGAAGAGGAGGACAATGAGGAGGCGCAGAGGAGGAGGACAATGAAGAGGAGCAGAGGAGAAGAGGAGGACAATGAGGAGGCGCAGAGGAGGAGGAGGACAATGAAGAGGAGCAGAGGAGGAGGACAATGAGGAGGAGCAGAGGAGGAGGAGGACAATGAGGAGGCGCAGAGGAGGAGGAGGACAATGAGGAGGAGCAGAGGAGGAGGAGGACAATGAGGAGGAGCAGAGGAGGAGGACAATGAGGAGGCGCAGAGGAGGAGCAGAGGAGGAGGACCATGAGGTAGAATTAAGTGAATTCAGTGAAACACACTACATTTACAGAGCCCTGGTGAAACCCAGCGTAATGTGTTACCAGTTTGGAGAAACTGGATCCAACTGGACCAGTAAGAGTAAATAAAGTGTGTCTGTGGCTGCCTGTAAACACAGTAGAAAAGGTTTGATCTTAAGTTACAAACCTCACAAGGCTCCATCTGGGACCACAGTCCAGACCAGTCTGGACCAACTCTGAAGAGCTTTCTCTGTGTTCTTATGTCTCTCTGACAGGGTCTCTCCCCTGACAGGGTCTGACCTCCAGCTTGCTCTGTCTCTCTGACAGGGTCTCTCCCCTGACAGGGTCTGACCTCCAGCTTGCTCTGTCTCTCTGACAGGGTCTCTCCCCTGACAGGGTCTTACCTCCAGCTTGCTCTGTCTCTCTGACAGGGTCTCTCCCCTGACAGGGTCTTACCTCCAGCTTGCTCTGTCTCTCTGACAGGGTCTCTCCCCTGACAGGGTCTGACCTCCAGCTTGCTCTGTCTCTCTGACAGGGTCTCTCCCCTGACAGGGTCTTACCTCCAGCTTGCTCTGTCTCTCTGACAGGGTCTCTCCCCTGACAGGGTCTTACCTCCAGCTTGCTCTGTCTCTCTGACAGGGTCTCTCCCCTGACAGGGTCTTACCTCCAGCTTGCTCTGTCTCTCTGACAGGGTCTCTCCCCTGACAGGGTCTTACCTCCAGCTTGCTCTGTCTCTCTGACAGGGTCTCTCCCCTGACAGGGTCTTACCTCCAGCTTGCTCTGTCTCTCTGACAGGGTCTCTCTCCTGACAGGGTCTTACCTCCAGCTTGCTCTGTCTCTCTGACAGGGTCTCTCCCCTGACAGGGTCTTACCTCCTCTTGACAGCTTGCTCTGCTCTCTCTGACAGGGTCTCTCCCCTGACAGGGTCTTACCTCCAGCTTGCTCTGTCTCTCTGACAGGGTCTCTCCCCTGACAGGGTCTTACCTCCAGCTTGCTCTGTCTCTCTGACAGGGTCTCTCCCCTGACAGGGTCTTACCTCCAGCTTGCTCTGTCTCTCTGACAGGGTCTCTCCCCTGACAGGGTCTTACCTCCAGCTTGCTCTGTCTCTCTGACAGGGTCTCTCCCCTGACAGGGTCTTACCTCCAGCTTGCTCTGTCTCTCTGACAGGGTCTCTTCCCCTGACAGGGTCTTACCTCCAGCTTGCTCTGTCTCTCTGACAGGGTCTCTCCCCTGACAGGGTCTTACCTCCAGCTTGCTCTGTCTCTCTGACAGGGTCTCTCTCCTGACAGGGTCTTACCTCCAGCTTGCTCTGTCTCTCTGACAGGGTCTCTCCCCTGACAGGGTCTTACCTCCAGCTTGCTCTGTCTCTCTGACAGGGTCTCTCCCCTGACAGGGTCTTACCTCCAGCTTGCTCTCTCTCTGACAGGGTCTCTCCCCTGACAGGGTCTTACCTCCAGCTTGCTCTGTCTCTCTGACAGGGTCTCTCCCCTGACAGGGTCTTACCTCCAGCTTGCTCTGTCTCTCTGACAGGGTCTCTCCCCTGACAGGGTCTTACCTCCAGCTTGCTCTGTCTCTCTGACAGGGTCTCTCCCCTGACAGGGTCTTACCTCCAGCTTGCTCTGTCTCTCTGACAGGGTCTCTCCCCTGACAGGGTCTTACCTCCAGCTTGCTCTGTCTCTCTGACAGGGTCTCTCCTTTGACAGGGTCTTACCTCCAGCTTGCTCTGTCTCTCTGACAGGGTCTCTCCCCTGACAGGGTCTTACCTCCAGCTTGCTCTGTCTCTCTGACAGTGCGTCTCTCTGACTGTTGATATATTCCGTGAGCATTCGGGCCAACTGTCTGCGATCCTCCAGCTCCGCCGCCAGACGACCATTATACTCTGCTAACAGCAAACAGGCCTCGTCCACGGTCTGAGAGAGATGGTCTGCTGCCTCCTTATCTGAGGAGGAGGGAGGAGGGGGAGGGAGGGGGGGGGAGGGAGGAGAGGGAGGAGAGGGAGACAGAGAGAGTTTGAGTGTATTGTTATACTCTGGTACCTTTGATCTCAGGGTGTGTAACTACGGTACCTGTGATCTTTGTGTGACCATGGTACCTGAGATATGTGTGTGACCATGGTACCTGTGATCTTTGTGTGACCATGGTACCTGAGATATGTGTGTGACTATGGTACCTGTGATCTTTGTGTGACCATGGTACCTGAGATATGTGTGTGACTATGGTACCTGTGATCTTTGTGTGACCATGGTACCTGAGATATGTGTGTGACTATGGTACCTGTGATCTTTGTGTGACCATGGTACCTGAGATATGTGTGTGACTATGGTACCTGTGATCTTCTCCAGCAGAGACACGTCCTGGACCTCCTGAGGCAGAGATGCAATCTTCTGTCTGACGGCTGCGTCTCCTGAGGCGGCGTTCTCCAGGTCCTGGAGGGCCTTCACCAACTCCTCTGTCTGAGACCAGAGAGAGAGACCAGAGAGACCAGAGAGAGAGACCAGAGAGAGAGAGACCAGAGAGAGACCAGAGAGCGAGACCAGAGAGAGAGACCAGAGAGAGAGACCAGAGAGAGAGACGAGAGAGAGACCAGAGAGAGAGACGAGAGAGAGAGACAAGAGAGAGACCAGAGAGAGAGACCAGAGAGAGAGACGAGAGAGAGAGACGAGAGAGAGAGACGAGAGAGACCAGCGAGAGACCAGAGAGAGAGACGAGAGAGAGACCAGAGAGAGACCAGAGAGAGACCAGAGAGAGACCAGAGAGAGACCAGAGAGAGACCAGAGAGAGAGAGAGAGACCAGAGAGAGACCAGAGAGAGACCAGAGAGAGAGACGAGAGAGAGAGACCAGAGAGAGAGACGAGAGAGAGACCAGAGAGAGAGACCAGAGAGAGACAAGAGAGAGACCAGAGAGAGAGACCAGAGAGAGAGACCAGAGAGAGAGACGAGAGAGAGACCAGAGAGAGACCAGCGAGAGACCAGAGAGAGAGACGAGAGAGAGACCAGAGAGAGACCAGAGAGAGAGACCAGAGAGAGACCAGAGACCGACCAGAGAGAGACCAGAGAGAGACCAGAGAGAGACCAGAGAGAGACCAGAGAGAGAGAACTCTTGTTAAACCTGGGGGTCTGGACTGTCTGGACTGTCTGGGGTCTGGACTGTCTGTGGTGTGGTCTCTGGACTGTCTGTGGTCTGGTCTGGGTCTGGGGTCTGGTCCGGGGTCTGGTCCGGGTCTGGGTCTGACCAGCTGAGCAGCAGTAGAGTCTGAGGTCCGTGGAGACATGTGGCTTCTGTAGTCGTCATCTTCATCCTCCTCTTCCTCCTGGATCTGCTGATAGACTCGTTTCACTGCCTTCTTCTCCTCTGCACACACAACACACACATAAACACACACACACAACACACACATAAACACACACACACACACACACACAACACACACACACAAACGCTGTGACCTCTTTGGGGGGGGGGGGCTGACCTTTGACAGTGAGGGCCTGAGTCCGGGCCTGGGTCCGGGCCTTGGGGCTGTGGGAGTCCTCGATGGCGAGCTTCAGCTGCTGGATGTAGTCTGCTCTGTACAGACTCCGCTCCTTCCAGATGTTCAGGAGCCGCTCCAGGTGTTTCTTATTCCCATCGTCGCCTTGACTACGGAAAGAAGAAGATGTTAGGACTGAGGCTGTAGACCCAGGTCTGAGGCTGTAGACCCAGGTCTGAGGCTGTAGACCCAGGTCTGAGGCTGTAGACCCAGGTCTGAGGCCGTAGACCCAGGACCAGAGGTTCCGCTAGACTTTTTTTTTGGCGGTCACTTTGGCCGACAAGGTCTGAAAATATCGGCCATTTGGGTAAGCAACCGGACATAATTTAATTATCCAATCCAATCCACTTTATTTATATAGCACATTTAAACAACAAAACGTTTCCAAAGTGCTGAACAACAATAACAATAAAACAGTTTATTGTTATAAAACAGCCATACAACAGCCTGTATAAGGCTAATGTATGGCCAGATTATACAACATGAAACATGAGGTGCCTGTCTGCCCTGTGTATTATACCTTGCTATTTTGAGGCAACCCTTGTTTTAAAGTGCCGCCAGAACACAAGCATGCAAATGCCGATAGATAAGAGAGCTGCGGCGCAATAAGACCAGATCCGAAAATTAGTGTTTCCTAAAGTGCTGGACTGGGATGAAAGATTCTTAATGCTACAATATTCTCCCATTGGTGTTTAGTTTGCTCTTTGTGAATGGTTGCGCGTGATAGGTGCATGTGCACAACCAGGTGCTCACTTTACAGCCACGTAAATGCTTCTCTGCTGCAGAAAAGCAGATACATCTAAAGCTCGTAGCGCTGCCCTGCATGCCACAAATACGATAATGAGGGGCACACATTGCGTCCTTTTACGCACATGAAAACTGTAGACGGCCCATGTTGTAGCCTTAACAAATCCGCACAAGGTCTTATGAACGGAGCGTATCAGTAAAAAGTTTCCAAAGGCTAATGAAAGCACTCGTCTGTACAATGCAGACAAAAACACAGTAACGTGTCGAAGCTCTCGCCTGGGGACATTAATCTGCCTTACCCTGAGAGCGCTGGACAGTTATAAGACACACTGATCATTCCACGGGGCAAAATAAAACATACATTTGTTTTAAATGTGCCGTGTTGTAAGACAAATCTCTGCTCAATTTGAACAGACAATTCTAACCTTGATTGAATTAAGAAAAGTTATGATATTTTCTGCGTTATCTACAATAGCAAAAATATATAATCAATTGGTTTACTGGCTATGAAGGGACACAAACCAGAGTTGTGTGTTGTGGTGTTTGTAGGTGCTTGTGTGTGTGTGCATGCGTCATATGCACGCCAGACAGGAAACAAATATTGCTGTGGCTTTTGCACACAATGCACAAAGAACGATGCTTCCACTCTCTTTTTGCCGGTGGCTAATCTAGAACTGTACTTCACTGAAGACTTGGGTTTGAAAAATCACAAAAACGTTGTAAGTTTAGGGAGAATGACAGCCATGGCAGTGTCAGAGCAGGACTTGTCTTGTCCGATCTGTTATAATGTCTTCAGAGATCCAGTGCTCCTGTCCTGCACCCACAGCTTCTGCAGAGAGTGTTTGAAGACCTGGTGGGAAGAGACGCCCTTAAGGAATTGTCCAATCTGCAAGAGAAGTTCATGCAGCGGAGATCCACCATTGAACCGGGCCTTGTCAAATTTGTGTGTGGATTTTAAAGAGAGCAGAATTGGATCATGCAGAGAGCACTCCGAGAGACTGAAGTTGTATTGTTTTAATCACCAAGAACCAGTTTGTTTGGTCTGCAGAGACTCGGATGCTCACAAAAACCACATCTTCAAACCCATCGACGAGGTGACACCCGGCTTCAGGAATCAGCTACAGGACGTTCTCCAGCGTCTGGCCGAACAGCTGCAGGTGTGATCGCCAGGTTTCTTATTCTATTGGGACGCATGGTTTATTGTGTGTTTTTGTAATGTCTATCAGTAGTTTGGGTTTCTACTATTTTTAGTTTCTGTCTGTTGGCAGTTGTTACATGTTGTGGTCACAGGGATAGGTGTAAAAGACGTCTCCACTGTTGATCTTATGTTATTTGCAACATTTTAAATAACGAATTTGTTGTTCACCTTAATCTTTAACAGGTGATAAAAATACAAATATGGTGCATGTAGATAATAATAAGAATACAGAAATCCCCCAGTAAAGTTGGTGACTGTAACCACGTAGTGAATCTCGTCACATTTTTTAAAAGTAATTAGTAATATGTAACTAATGACTTTTTCAGAGTAACTTACCCAACCCTGGACGGATGTAATGTCCAGGGCTAATGTCATGGTGTATGGATCTGGCATGCCCAAAAATAACAATTGTAAACCACTTTGTGACTCTGGTCTCTGAAAGGCGGTATATAAATAAAGATTACTTACTTACTTATTAATAACTTACTTACTGTTCTGCAATAAACAGATCTCATTGCACAAAAAGGTAAAATAACAAAAGTAGCCACAGACCAACGAGCAGGGTTTTGGGCTAGCCTATTCCAAAAGTGACGAGGAAATTATAATCAGAAGTGCATTCACAGTAGAATAGTTTGTCAAGTCAATTTTGCACAATTGCCGTGGCTGACAGACGTGAGGAAATGTTTGAGGTCAGTGTTTAAATACTTTTATTTTGCCTCCCTAGGACGTGAATAAAAGCATAATGGAGTTTTCTGCTGCTGCGACTCACGTTGAAGCCCAGGCTCGGCTAACAGAGAGGCAGATTCAGGATCAGTTTAAGAGGCTGCACCAGTTTCTAGAGGAAGAAGAGCAGAGCTGGATCAGCGCTCTGAGGGAGGAAGAGCAGCAGAAGAGGAGGAGCCTGGAGGACAAGATGGCAGCTGTGAACCGAGATATGGAGGCTCTGTCTGAGACAATCACAGCCACAAAGAAGCAGATGGCCTCAGCAGATGTTTCCTTCCTGCTGCAGTATAAGGCTGCACTGGAGAGAGTGAAATGCTGCCCCCCAGTGGTAGGACCAGAGCTGGGACCGGGAGCTCTGATAGACCAGGCCAAACATGGGATTCAACATCTGGAAGAACATGAAAGACCTGTTCCAGTTCTACCCTGTTGTTCTTGATCCAAACACTGGTCATCCAGAACTCAGTCTGACTGGGGACTTGACGAATGTAAAATATGGAGAAAGACAAAAGTTTCCAGAGAATCCAGAGCGGTTTGGGTGGCACAGAGTCCTGGGATCAGAAGGGTTCAGCTCAGGGACTCACAGTTGGGACGTGGAGGTTTCAGGTGATGATTATTGGTCTGTGGGCGTGGTCAGCGAGTCGGTACAGAGGAAGGCACCGATGAACACAGGAGTTTGGGAAATACGTTTTCACGATGGACAATATCATGCCGTCTGTCGACCGAAACAGGACAAGACACTTAGTTTGGAGAAGAATCTACAGAGAATCCGAGTGAAACTGGACTTTGACAAAGGACAATTGTCGTTTTCTGATGCGGACACAGAAGAACAATTACATGTCGTTACAAAGTCTTTCTCTGAGAAGCTGTTTCCTTGTTTCTCCACAATCAACAACAGGCCACTGCAGATTATACCAAAGACTATCTCTGTGAAAATTAAATAAACCTGAATTAAGACATGATGCAGCGTACTTTGTAGCTAACTGACAAGAAAAACAAACAAATTGAGACAACACATGTTTTTCTTGCTGACTTGACTGTAGCTACATGTGTAGTTAAATAAAAAATGAAAATAAACATCATTCAAGCTCATTTTCGAATGAAGCATGATCTGTTTTGTATTGTTTCATAATATGGTATTTTGCCCTTTCCATTCCCATGAGTGTTGAAAATAATTCAAGCCAGAGTCTGTACTTTTGCATGATTGGACATAGAGTATTAGGATGAGCTTTCCCCAGAGCTCATTTTGTTCCCTCTCTTTATGGCTGTGGTGTATTCTACATTCATTCAGGAAGTTTAGATCATAATTAGTAATAATGCACCTGAATATTGTCCCATTTTACAGAAGTATAACAAGAAATATGATTTCACACTAAGAGGTTTGATTTTAGTTTACCAATATTGATTATTGAATATACTTGAGATTCAGTGATTAAAAGATTCATTATTTTATTAACAATTTACATTAAACCCTAACCCAAATGTGTGCACATACCCTGTATAACGAGCTGACCAGGGTGATCGAGGACGTGATGTGATCCCAACAGAATGAGTTAAAAGTCAAACATAAGCTTAAAGACCTTGCAAAGTTTATATCCATCAATCAATTAACATAAACAATTGGAACAAAGCAGAACCAACTTTCTTGAGAATGATCCCACTCATTACTGTGGACGGCTCTATGGAACAGATGGGAATCAGAAATGACAATTAAAGTTTAAAATTTGTGCCTTTGATAAGTTAAAATTCCAGACTTCAAGGCCGGGGATATATACAGTTACCAGCTCTTCCATCCCCCACATGTCTGCCTCACTCTTCTCTGTCTACCCCCATACCCCACCTATATCTTCCCTCTGACTTTCCCACATTGGGGCAGGTCAGAATTAGGGGTGGGAACCTAAGGGTACCTCACGATACGATACGATACACGATACAAAGCTCACGATAACAATATTATCACGATTACAATATTATCACGATAACAATATTATCACGATAACGATTTTATCACAATATGACGATTATCGATATATTGGTCAGAAATATACAATATGCCAATTTATGGCATAAATAAAAGAAAAAATACACTTTATTTCATGATAAATGGGATGGAGATGCGTAATGTAGCCATATATTACGTTTTTTTTTTTCAAAATCGATATCGATACTTGGCAAATACATATCAATAATCGAATCGCGGGAGAAAGTATCGCAATATATTGAAAAATCGATATATCGTCACACCCCTAGTCAGAATGTTCTCCAATCAAACAGATCCAACTGTTGTCCACATGTAATGAGTCCATCCAACTTCTCTTGGTGAAATGTATGTGTCTGCTCTCTCTGCTATTCTAGAACTTACGGTTCCATGAAGAAAGATGACTGTAAATGGAACATCAATCATTCATGCATTATTTCCATGTGTCTTGAGTGTTGACCTTGTTGCCCTTGCTGCGCAGCCGTCCTCCTCCGTACAGACTGAAGTCCTTCCCCTCAAGGTCTTTGTAAAGATGTTCCCCTAAGATCAGGTGGTTCTTACACACTTCCTCTTCATTCACACCCTGCAACAAACACAAAATCACACAAAGGCTCATGCAACGAGTTAACAAGGAATCACTGGATGAGACAGATTAGCTGAATAAAGTGAAATACGTCCTTTATTAAATAATCTATGAGATGACCTGAAGCAGAAGCATATATAATAATGAGAGCATTTCCCAAGTCTGTTTTCAGTATGCCCTACGCCTTGTAATTTAGGTAAAAATATGTATTATCATCCTATACAAATTTCCCTCAAAAAAAATTTTTTTGTGCTTTTTGTTTTAGACTAGGTAATACTTAACTGGGTGGATAGTGTTAAGAATGTCAAGGAGGTAGCAAACATACGCACCAAAGTACGTTAGTGACAGGTTAGTGCCATATGAACCAACTCGGACTCTGAGCAGCACAGGGACTGGCCTCCTGCTGGTCCCAGAGTCAGAACTAAGCATGGAGAGTCTACATTTCAGATTCATGCTGCTAAAAACTGGAACAATCTTCCTGAATATGTGAGACAGGCTTCTTCTCTGAAAATGTAAAACAGTTCTGTTTAGCTGTGCATACAGCTGAGGTATTCTATAATTTCATCTTTCTTTTTAATGTATTGTGATTATTTATGATTTGAATGCCTTGTGACTGTTAATATCTTGTTTTGTTCAGCACTATGAGTTGCCTTGTGTGTGAATTGTGCTATATAAATAAACTTGCCTTGCCTACATGGACCAACAGAAAGAGTCTTATGGTAGGAGTGGAATGACCGACTGCGGACATCACCCATACGGTTTGCTGAAAGTGGAATTTCCTTATAAGAGCATTAATTTTCTGCAAAAACCAAGGATTTTTTAAAGATAAAAATGGTGAGTGAGACAGAAACAGTTACTGAGCGAAAAGAGTTGATGCAAGAGGGATTTGGAGAAAAACTTTCCTATCGTTCTTCATTGATGTTGAATGTAATTATGTTGGGATTTGTGTAAAATGCGGTGCTCCCGTATGGTGTGACCCACCGTGAGCGGAGTCCTGAGCAGTGGAATGAAGGCTGTAAAGGGACCGTCATGGTTCAACAGCAGCGAGCAGCCTTTCTCTAAATTAAGGGAAATTATCACAAAAACAACAATTCAAATAACTGCAGTACATTAGCACACAAAGACAGCAAAATAAACAAAACAAGTAAAAGATCAGTTAACAATCACTTACCTACGTATTTTTCAGATTATAAGTCTCAGTTCTTATCATAGTTTGGCCGAGGGTGCAATTTATACTCTGGAGCGACTGAAATTCATACATTTACTCTTGTGCAACTTTTTCCTTATTTTTTATGCATTTTCAGCTGGCGCGACTCCGGAGCGACTTATAATCAGAAAAAAACTGTACTGCATCTCTATAAATTCACAGCTAAGGTGATTAGGGATGTAAATCGGTGACCCTTTAACCGGTGGTTGACCGTCACAGCGTTAGCCGGTCAAAGCTGTCGGTTAAAAAAAAGAAAAGGGGGAGGAGAGGGTCTACTAATAACGCTATTTTAAGCCCTATTCGCACGGTGTGAAGGAGCGGGTCATCTGCCAATGTATTAGTAAACTCCGGGCCGACTTTCATGCTACACGTGCCACACACATACACATGCACGCACACACACACACACACACACACACACACACACACATGCACGCGCACACACAAATTCCATTACACACTTGCGCACTCTTTCCCCCGCTCATACGTAACATCCACACCCATCATCCATACTCTTGTCCGTCTCTCTCCTCCGTTACTAGTCCGCCAAAGTTGCACACTTGAGCGGGTTAGAACTCCATTGGAGCTTACATATACGTACGTACATATACAGACACACACACATACCGGTCTGTCGCGCTCCGCTGTGTCACGCAGCCAAAATGATCCTCGAAAATACGCGGCTCCAGTCAAACCACATGGACCATGTTTGTGCTGCGCGGCTCCACAGACAGCACTTGTGTTTAAACTTTAGCGGAGACCTGCGAGACGCGGCTCGTCACTCGCTGCTCTGACCATGTGGACGAGCTGTCGTTTGCTGCTAAAAAGCTTTAACCCGCAGCACAGAAGATGGAAAGATAAATAAAAGCAGTTCTCTGTGCGCAAAGGTGCCGAAGCTGTTGCAGGTATCGCTCCGCTGTCTCGGCTCTGATCTAGTACGCATAGCTGCACTTATGGAAAGTGCATGGCTCGAAATGGTTGTTATTTCAAAGAACGTGGACTATTTTAAACTACGCGGTTAACTGGTTTAAACCAGTTAAAGAGGCTCGGTGTTCAGTCATTAAAATTTGTACGTTTTTTACATCCCTAAAGGTGATTCTTCCTCATTGAAAATGTCAAAAACTTTGACACAACTCTTTTTTGGTGTTTTCTTTGTTGCTGCCAAAAGTGCATTCTATACATGGCTGTTTGCGTACTTTCCAGATCCATTGGAATATTAATGACATTTTTGATGATGTTGTGTGTTCATCTGATGTATAGAGATATTCAGTGAATTTTGTACAATGATTGTGGTATAACCGACCAAAAAGAGCAATAGTTTCGGTCAGATTGCCGCGGTGGTCTCCGGTTCTGTCGAGTTCTAGAAGCTGCTCCATCAGGTTTCCGTAACATCTCCAACCGTCACCGATCTGCTCTGAACTGCACTCACATCTGCACAGGTCACAAGTCACAAAAAGTAATTCAATACATGTAAAAAAATATGTATAAAAATCCCATATTTACAAAACTTTCAGTGTCGTAAAAAACGTATCAATTATACTTGACCTGTCATGTCCGTCCAATCCGGTGCGACAGGAAGCAGAGGGATGACAGGAGTCTTTCAAACAGGCTGACACAAGCTCACAGCCGAACTGAGCGCTGCCCCCTACTGGTCTCATCCCTGCCATGCACTGGCACGTGGACTGCAGAGAGAGCAGAAGATGTCTCTAAACTCCATCCATCCATCCATCCATTTTCTTCCCCTTAATCCATTTCTGGGTCGGGGGGGTGGCCAGAGATGCCACCCAGTACACAGAGCACCAGCCCCTCACTGATCCTCCTGCAGGTGGTGAGTCCACAGGAGCTGAGATCTTTCAGTGGGGGCTTCAGGCAACCACTTTGCCTGAAGCTTTGGTTAAGTGTCTTGCCCAAGGACACAACGACAGCAGTCATCAGTGGGAGTCGTGAAGTAGGTCTTACGGTGGGCTCGAACCCACGACCTTCAGGCTCAAAGGCCAATGCTCTACCAACTGAGCTACTGTCGCCCCCTCTAAACTGTCTCTAAACTTTCTCTAAACTGTCCATTAATTTTGAGGATAATACATTTGAATAATAATTATTTGTGATTATTTGAAATCAATCAAGTAGTAGTTTAATAAGGAGAGCTTTAGGAATGTGGAAAAATGCAAAAAGCAGCATTTTAGCCGTATTGATGAAATTACAGTTTAAACTCTGAGTGGAGTTTGCATGTTCTCCCTGTGTCTGTGTAGGTTTCCTCCAGGTACTCCGGATTCCTCTACCACTAAAAATATGTACAATAGGTCTGGCATGCGCCTCCTGTACTGGCCCCGCTTCCATCTCTGTGTGGAGTGAGAGACTAATGCCCATAAAATAACAATTGTAAACCGCTTTGTGACTCTGGTCTGTGAAAGGAGGTATATAAATAAAGATTACTTACTTACTTACTTAAACAGAAGTTACACTCAATTAAAAATAAAAAAACTTTCCAATTATCCAATCAGAGTCTTTTGTCCAAAGAGGCACCGGATTATTCAACGTGCTCATTTTAAAGATAAGAATTCTGTTGGGACTGTTCCTCAATCACCATAGCCATGCTTACTGCCTGGTTACTGGGACTTCGCCCCCTACTGGTCCAGTGCATGCCTCTATCACATGTACAGAAGATTTCTATAAGACCAGACCACAATTTTGCGCCCAAAGTACAAAAGTTTGATGCTATGATGATGTTATGACTTCTGTTTGTATTTATGTCTAGATATGATACATTTTAATTACATTACAATTCATTCACAGCTATGGAATATTCCCAATACTCCCTCTTAACTTCCGTGAAAATCTACCTGATACTTTCTGGGAATAAACCAGCAATGTTCAGCCCCTTTGCAATCCTACCTCAGAACGGCAGGTCAAACAGCTCATGTATTTACCCACATTACGTTTGACCTGTGGGGTAATAAACATTTTGCAAATAAACTATAAAACAGCTGAACATTAAAATCACAGCTACATTAGGCCTTTATGTTTATACTGAACATGGCTCAGAAAAAAGCCGAGTCAGAATGGCCTGGCAGCGCGGGGTCAATGTGAATGGAAAGGCCATGATCGGTGTGAAAACATGAGGTTTTAGGATAATGACAGAAAATGTGTTTACTAAATATGTTGATATCCAACAACCCCAATGTGCAACAAGTCATTTCTATGTCCTCCATCACTTTTGTTTTGGCGCAATGTGTAAAAAATCCCATTGTAACTGCACTGTTATCAGTTCTGTTCATGTTTTACTGTATATGCATTTTTTTTGGGTGTAACTTTAGTTTGAGACGAAAGGTGCATGGTTATTAACATACAATTAAGAAGTTTAAGTCAGAAATAACACAAAAGACCAAGTGAGAGCCAACACAGCCCCCTTCAGCATGGACATTTTTTATAAAATGCACTAAGAAATGGTGACTTCTGATTAATTCTAATTCACTGTGGCATAAGCAGCGCATGCTCACAGCCACACACACACACACACAGTAACCCATCCCTGAATATACAGTATATATATAAATAACAAAGTTGATTAAAACCTAAACTCGGTGAATGGTTTCAGCCTGGGGTCATTCACAGGACTGACCTTGTTTGCTCCGCTGAACGCACACACGGTGGAGTTCACTGGGCAGTCTCCGTTGTTCTGGTTGCAGGGGTTTTTGGGGACACACACTCGGCCATTGCCCTCGTAGTCTGTTTTACAGACGCAGGTGACTTTTGATCCCTGAGATGAGCACTGCGCATTCTCGTCACAGTCCCGGGAGGAGCACACAGCTGGACAACAACAATAACAAAAGTTTCAGATTCAGATACAGACTTGATTTATCGCACCAAGGGCAATTCATTTGAGCAGCACAGGGCATAAAACACATGAAAACACAGGGAAAGGTGGAGCCCATACAAACATATGAAAGTAATACAACAATACAAGCTCAAACACTAAAGTCCATATCACCAGTAGAGTATAGATTAAGATTAGAGATCCTTTATTTGTCCCACAGTGGGGAAATTTCAGTGTTGCATCACAAGCTAAAGACAGTAGGAATGAGGAGCACACAGCACCTGAAGAGAAATCAATAACATCTCTTAACTAAAATAAAATAAAGAGTGCAGTGGTCTAATAGCGGTTGGGACAAAAGATTTATTTATTTATTTATTTATTTATTTATTTGAATGGGACAGTGCATGTCAATGAACAGACATTAAAAACATGAATGTAAACATGCCAGATTATAGCCAAAGGCTAATTTCCATCTGTAGTCCCATAGGGTCAGGGTCACACGGGTCAAATGCAGCAACATTAACAGAAACAAGAGGAAATTACACACATCTCATTATTGCACACGTTCCGTTGTTACACACATCTAATACACACATCAGATTATTGTACACATCCCGTTAATACACACATCTCATTATTGCACACATCTCATTATTGCACACATCTCAGTATTGCACACCTCTCAGTATTGCACACATCTCATTATTGCACACATCTCATTTTTGCATACATCTCATTATTGCACACATCTCAGTATTGCACACATCTCATTATTGCACACATCTCATTATTGCACACATCCCGTTATTTTACACACCCCATTACTGCATAACATCCTTGCATTACAGTCAACCAAAACTACACATGTCCTATTTGCAAACAAACCCTATCGCATGTTCCCCAACATTATTAATGGTCGCATGTTTGAGACGACCTTAACCACTCCTTTAGGAGACTTTTAAATGAAGTAAAACTAGATAACTCCACATTATCCTTTTTAATCTATTAACACCCCTAAGTATTTAAATTCTGTTACTAGTTGTAGTTCCTGATTTTCAATAAACACATTGGAGCGGCTGATGTTAGAGGCCTTTTTAGAGAACATCATACAAACAGTTTTTTGTTTGTTTAGGAGCAGACAGGACTTCGTGAGCCAACTCTGAATATTTACAAGTGCTGACGTTAGAATTTTAGCAGCTTCCTCAGATGATTTTGCACTTGCATATATCACTGCATCATCGGCATATAATTGAATGTTTACACCTTTACAAATATTGGGCAGATCATTTATGAACATGGAGAATAAAATAGGGCCAAGAACTGATCCTTGGGGGACCCCTAGTGGACAGTTGATAAAACTTGATTTCACTCCATTGACCACAGACCCTTGTTTTCTACTAGACAAATATGAAGCCATCCATTTTATGGCTTTCTCAGAAAAATTGAAAAATGGCAGCTTAGACAGAAGTATATCATGGTTCACTACATCAAATGCTTTTCTCAAATCTAGAAATACTGCACCCACATAGGTGTGTCTATCCAGACTACTTTTTACTCGTTCTAAAAACAATGTTATTGCAGTTTCTGTTGAATGGTGTTCACGGAAGCCAAACTGCATAGGGTGCAGAGGAGCCTGGCCATTATTGAGATGTTCTACCAATTGTTTTGCTACCCATTTCTCCAGGACCTTGGAGAAAATAGGCAATATACTTATTGGCCTATAATTGGACACATTGGTTTTCTCACCTGATTTAAAAATTGGCGTCACAACGGCCATTTTCCAGATCTGTGGTACAGTGGAGTGTTCAACAGATAAGTTGATTAGATGTGTGATTGGACGTGCAAGGACCTTTTTGTGTGTTTTTAGGAAGGCAGTATCCAAGTCCATGAAGTCTTTGGCTTTGGAGCCTTTCATTTGATTGATTATGGTAATAACTTCTGCTTCAGATATCTTCAGTAGTTCAAGGCTTTGGTCGTTTTCAGTTGTGCTATGAGAAAAGTTAGTTACATTAGTGCTAAAGCAAGCAGCTACTTCTTGTACTGAGCGTACAAAGAAAGAATTAAACTCTTCTGCTAGTACAGCAGGATCTTTCACAAGCTGGTTCTCTATCTTCAGCTCTAGATCACACACATTCTTATTTTTATTCACTAAAAGTGTATTAATCTTTTGCCATATTAATTTTCCATTCCCCCCTGCATTCTCCATAATTGAAATGAAAAAATTAGCTTTGGCCTTTCGCATTTCTGTTATTACCTTGTTTCTAGTTTGTGTGTAATTCAGCCTGTCTGAGGTCAATTTTGTTTTGATAAACCTTTTCAACAATTGGTCTCTACTTTTCATCAGTTTGATGCAATTTAAGTTTATCCAAGGGGCAGATTGAGATTTTATACCTCTATGTTTTTGAGGTTTTAAAAAAGATATGTAAACTTGTTCAATTTTGGTCAGAAATGATTCAGAGCATAGATCAATATTGTTACATGAGATAATTTGTTCCCAATTTAATTCCTTTAAGGCCTTTTCTAAGTTTGGTTGCTCTCTATTTGGAATGCCTTTTGTTGTCACCCGTTTGCCTTCTTTTAGGTAATTATAACGTTGTTTGGGTTAATTTTCTTGTACAGAAGATGGCATTATGGTCAGAAAGACCCGTTAACAGATTATGTGTTTTTGTAATCCTTTCTGGTTTATTTGAGAAAAGTAGATCGATTCTAGAGGCTGAATGATTTGTAACTCTTGTTGGCTTCTCAATTAATTGGTTAAAATTAAATTTATCAGTCAATGTTTTCAAACTCCTTCTCTCTTTTTTGTCATCCCAGTTTATGTTAAAATCTCCCAGAATGATTGTTTCTTTCTTTTGGCCGTATAGTGAAAGAAGTTCATTAAACTGGTCATAAAAGTCACTTTTTGATGAGGGTTTACGATACAGACAAATGGAGCTTTCGCGAAAGTTCACCGTGGTAGACCCGGCTGTTGCTGCCAGGCCACAGGCTGCTCTTCCTCGACTCATCAATACCAGCAACGCCCACACCCAGTCAACCAATAACCACCAGGACAGCAAGTTAAAAGCCGGAGACGCCCACTTCCCGATCTTCTGAAGTCTGCAAGGTGCATGTCGCTAACGCACCTGTTCGCAAATGCATGCGTTGTTCTGGAGGGGTCGCTTCTGCTCACGTGTTGCTCGTGCGCGTGGCCCGGCTGTCCTCAGTCTGGCTGCTCGTGGTCTGCTCCTCCTCCACGTCCCTGCACCTGCTGTGGTTCGCATATCCCCACTGCTCTCCTCCTCTGCGGGCTCTTCTGCGGGCTGCTCCGCGGGGCCCCTCCGCGGTTCTGTGCTGCTCGTTCCTCGTGGTCTGCTGCCGCGCGCAGACGGTCTGGCGGTGCCGTGCGTGTCCCTGCCTCCGATTGGCGGTGCCGCGTCGTCCCGTTGCTTTCCCAAGTCTCCTGGCATGTGAGTACAGTCAGTGTGCCGACCGCGGACAGTTTAATCCCGGAGTCTAGGCTGCAGGCGGCTGGTTTTTGCCCTACGCACTTGACTGCAGGCGTCAGTCTTCGCCCGTGCTTGGTCTGCAGGCTCCGTTTTACACGTGTTGAGCTAACTGAGGGACAATGCATCTTAAATGGCATCAATCTCCAATGTCTGAGGGATATAAGAGGAGCAATGTGCATTAATTCAGATTCATGTTCTGCCACTTGCAGTAAACCCACGTTGGAAAAAATGTGCAAAGACTACCCCATCGTGCTCCAGACGGCACACACAGAGCTCTTGCATGGCGCCATCTTTACAGCATCAATCTCATTACTCGCAAGTCACTATTGTTAAATGATGTATTTAAATTCGTCTATCTGCAGGAGGAAGGAGGGGCCATGCATTTAAATAGCTAGGTCACTAGTATTAAACTGGGTAACTAAACTGCAGTTGTTGCATTTCGAAAGTGCAGCAGAAAGAAAAGGGGCCCAATGTGAATATGCAATGGGTTTGAAGTGGAGCTGGAGCTAATGAACGCATGGATCAGTGATCGTTCATGCGTTCTACCATAACCAAAGCAGCAAGATGGCTCCAGGGGACATCTGTTTCTCGCATGGGAATGTTTCGGATTCGGGTTGATTTATTTCCTCAGGCTCTTAAACAACCGTGGGCATGGTTCTCTGACCGCCGCTGCTGCGGTCCCTGCTGCCGTTCCTACTGATGCCTGATCCCGCTGCTGCCTATTCCTGCTGCTGCCTGTCCCTGCTGCCTGCTCCTGCTGCTCCTACTACTACATGTGCCGCTGCTGCTGTTCCTGCCGCTGCCGCTCCGCAGGCTCCCAGGCTGCACCTGTCTCTACGGCTCGGCTCTTCAGACACGTACGTAACCTGGCTCACGGAGACAAGCGGCGCACGCTGGCGTGACACGTCTGTTGTTCGTATGAATTGCATTGTGCTGCTGCTGCTTGCTGCTTCTGCTGCCGCTACTGCTGCTATTGCTGCCGCTGCTGCTTCATACTGCTACCGCTTCCGTGCTGCTGCTGCTTCTTTACTTTGACACCTCTCTTCACTGCGCATCTCTTTTACTGAAACACTAAACAGCTTCAACTATATTCTACTGCGGTGGCTTGATACAGGATTATTGCTGTTATTATCTACGGATGCTGCAACCGCTGCTGCTGCTGCTGCTTCATGCTGCTACCGTTACTGCTGCTACTGCTGCCGCTGCTGCTTCATACTGCATCTGCTGCCGTGCTGCTGCTGCTTCACGTACTTGACATCTCTCTTCACTTGGCATCTCTTTTACTGAAACACTAAACAGCTACAACAATATTCTACTGCTCTGGCTTTGATACAGCATTATGGCTGTTATTATCTACGGATGCTGCAACCGCTGCTGCTTCATACTGCTACTGCTGCTACTGCTAATGCTGCTTCTGCTGCTTCATACTGCTACCGTTACTGCTGCTGCTACTGCTGCGCTGCTGCTGCTGCTTCATGTACTTTGACATCCCTCTTCACTTCGCATCTCTTTTACTGAAACACTAAACAGCTACAACAATATTCTACTGCTCTGGCTTTGATACAGGATTATTGCTGCTATTATCGACGGATGCTGCAGCTGCTGCTGCTTCATACTGCTACTGCTGCTGCTGCTTCATACTGCTACTGCTACTGCTGCTGCTTCATACGGCTACTGCTGCTACTACTGCTGCTGCTGCTTCATTTACCTTGCCATCTCTCTTCACTTCGCATCTCTTTTACTGAAACCCTGAACAGCTACAACAACATTCTACTGCTGTGGCTTTGATACAGAATTATTACTGTTATTTTCTAAGGACGCTGCTGCTGCTGCTGCTGCTACTGCTGCTGCTGCTGCTGCTACTGCTGCTGCTGCTACTGCTGCTGCCGCGGCTTGATACAGGACTTTTGCTGTTATTATCTGAGGCTACTGCTGCTGCCGCTGCTGCTACTGCTACTGCAACCCACTCTCTCAGAAGCTTATCCTGCTTCTAATGGATGCAGCCCGGCTGAGTATGCCGCGCTGCGCCGGACTCGCACCTATGCTCCCAGGGTCGCTTCGGCGGTCGTGATTCATCTCTCTACTGAATCTTCTGATTCTATCAGATGCAGCTGGCCAAGTAGCTGCGCTGAGCCGTCAATCGGACTCCTAATCAAAGGCATCCATACCTGTATTCTTCACTCTTCTGATCACAGGCTCCCCATCATGCTGCCCATCCTGCAGCGGCTCTGAGCGGCACTGAACTCCGGCTCATCTTCCAAGTACATGTCTGCCCTCCTCGCAGCATCTTCTGCTCGCCTTCTGTGGCTTCTCTGCATAAGCGTTTCACCACTGCTCACTCAACCTTCAATGCGGTCCGAGACACGGCTTTTCCCGTCCTATCCTACTGGCCTAATTATCTACTCTCCAACCCAAGATTCTAAGCGTAAGGGCGCCTGCAACATCAATGGCCCTCTCCGGTGTGTCTCTCTGCCCCTACAGGTCTCCGCTTCTACACGGACGCTGCCCCTTCCGTGGGTTTTTGGGGGATTCTTCCAGGACCAGTGGTTCGCCGGCCGTGGCCCGCTACTTTCCCCGGACCATTTCCTCTGCCCTACACGAGACATTCCCAGTGGTCGTGGCCTGCGCGCTGCGGAATCACACGTGGCAGAGAAAGAGGATCTCTGTCATGCGTGATCATCTCGACGTAGTGGAAGCATTAAACAAAGGTCGCTCTTCTCACCCAACATAATGTCCCCTGACCATTCAACCTTCATCTCAAACATTCAAAGATCAGAGGCGCCTGCAACACAATAATAGCTCGCTTCGACACATCTCTCTGCCCCTACAGGTCCATGATGCGTTACACTCGCCTCCGCGGCAAAAAGGAGATTTTAACGGACCTCTAATTCTCACTCCAGTCAACCTTCCCATAACAGCAACCTGGTTCAGAGCTCAGCTAAGATCCCTACTGCTCCTCTGCAATTTGTCTCCCCAGCTCTATACAGCCCACTCCTTCAGGATAGGCGCTGCCACGCGCGCGACCTCGCTGGGGCTCCCCAACTCTTCCTCTGCAACAGCTGGGGCGCTGGTCCTCTTCGGCTTCTCCACCTACATCAGGCCAGATGCGACCGCTATCATGGCAGCACAACGTCTACCGGCTTCCTCGTAAGCTCCCAGCAAAGCAAGTAAGCAATAAGATTCTGGTGGCGGCACGCACTTTCCTCAAACGCTCAAAGATTCCTTGCTTCAGCGTCTGGCTGAATATGAGCGTGCGCTCATATTCTCAGCTCGCTCAAAGATTCCTCTGCTGCGGCTGGCTGAACATGCGCGTGCGCGCATGTTCTCAGCTCGCTCAAAGATTCCCCTGCTGCGGCTGGCTGAGCATGCGCGTGCGCGCATGTTCTCAGCTCGCTCAAAGATTCCTCTGCTACAGCGGCTGGCTGAACATGCGCATGCGCGCATGTTCTCAGCTCGCTCAAAGATTCCCCTGCTGCGGCTGGCTGAACATGCGCGTGCGCGCATGTTCTCAGCTCGCTCAAAGATTCCTCGGCTACAGCGGCTGGCTGAACATGCGCGTGCGCGCATGTTCTCAGCTCGCTCAAAGATTCCTCTGCTACAGCGGCTGGCTGAACATGCGCGTGCGCGCATGTTCTCAGCTCGCTCATGCTCTCAGGCCCGCGCAGTGCGTCCTGCTATCCCAATCGCAGGCCCGCTTTTTGGGGATCATGCACGCGAGCAAGCGCCGTGCTCAACAGCATCCCGCCCGGGCCTAGGGCGCCAAACATGCTCAATCAATAAACATGCTTAAATCTAATAAGTCTAATGCGTTTTCCTCATGGGTCTCTCCAAGGTGAAATGGAGCTTTCGCGAAAGTTCACCGTGGTAGACCCGGCTGTTGCTGCCAGGCCACAGGCTGCTCTTCCTCGACTCATCAATACCAGCAACGCCCACACCCAGTCAACCAATAACCACCAGGACAGCAAGTTAAAAGCCGGAGACGCCCACTTCCCGATCTTCTGAAGTCTGCAAGCCGCCGCCGCCCCACCTCCTCCTTCTCGCATGAAGCGTGTTGCCTACTGCCTCTGCCGTCACCAGTGCCTAGGCCCCGGGGGGATCATGCACGCGAGCAAGCGCCGTGCTCAACAGCATCCCGCCCGGGCCTAGGGCGCCAAACATGCTCAATCAATAAAAATGCTTAAATCTAATAAGTCTAATGCGTTTTCCTCATGGGTCTCTCCAAGGTGAAATGACAGTTAGTGACATTTCAGCCGAGAGTGAAATGTTTACCCCAACACATTCTAAGGTGATACTGTTAGGCCATAATATAGATGTGCATTTAAGATTGTTTTTGACGTATAACAGGACTCCACCACCTTTTCCTTGACTCCTATCATTTCTAAAGGTATTGAAACCTGGCAAGTTTATAGCTGAATCAGGGGAGGAGTTCGTTAGCCATGTTTCAGATAGTCCAAAAAAGTCTATATTGGAGTTACAGATTAAATGTTCCAATTGTTCACGTTTTGACACCTTACTGCGTACATTTAAATGACCTCCAAGTAAACCATTTTTCTTACTACTAGAATCCCAAACTACTCTTGCGTGGCTAAGTGTATTGAAGATTCTCAAGTGCCTATGCTTTTTGTAGACCGCGTTTCTGCTTTTTCTGGAGACTGGTTGCGCTTCTGTGGAGTAAATTTCAGTTACTTGCCGAGTAGATGGTTGCGTGATGAGCGCTTCTGTTGCCAGTCCTGTACCCTCCGGGCACACAGGGCAGCCCACCACCGGCGTGGCCTCCGCAGCAGCAGGGGGCACAGCGGAAACTCCCCCCGCGGGCCAAGATGGACAGACAGCCGCAGCACCGGACACGGTGGAGACTCCCCCCGCGGGCCACAACGGGACAGATCCCCCCTGACATGCAGCCGACAAGGTAAATCCACTGATTGGTATTTCATTCCAATGATGGGATGTCTGTGAAGTCCATGGAGAAGCCAATGGAAGCATAACAGGTAGAACGGGTAGGAAGTACACCGGTTCATTCAGCTGTGTTTGCTGTAGTTCCTCTGTTAGCATTGCGCACAGGCTGCTTGTGCCTAGAGACCTCTGCGACTCGGGTCCTGGATTTAACTCAACATCCCCTGCAAGAAGCACTATAACTGCTAAGTGCACGAGATTTATCGTTGCATTTGCGTATCTTAGATTACCCTGCGCACCGGGTATCTTTGCCTGTCCGCTGCTGTTTAGCAGTATTGAGTGCAACAGGTGTTGGGTGGGGGAGAGTCCCTGGACTGAGTTTGTGAGTCGCCTTCTTGTTGATAAAAGAAGTAGGCAGCCAATTAAGACAGTGCAGCAAATCCATCTCTTGTCTATAGATCTTGTAGATTTGATGGGTTTGAGTAGTTTGAAGGAACCTAACACGGCTCCTGTTGGGCTGTAACTCCCACCTGCGGCCATGTTGTTTCTCACCATCAGTACACAGTTCCTATACCTCCTCTCAAGGAGGAGGTATAGGATTAAGTGATAATTGGTTTTATAATATGGTAAGTAAGTAATCTTAATATATAAAGCACATCTTAATCTTGCTCTGACTGTCTCTTCAATCTGAAGAACAGAGGAAATGGATATACTGCCTTTCCATGCTGCTCTCAGGTCGCCACTACTGTAGCTTGGTCTTAACATACCATCCATCCATCTTCTTCCCTTTAATCCATTTCTGGGTCAGGGGGTGGCGGTCAGAGCTGCACCCAGTTCACAGAGCACCAGCCCCTCACTGATCCTACTGCAGGTGGTGAGTCCACAGGAGCCTCAATCTTTCATCGGGGGCTTCAGGCAAAGTAGGGTTAAGTGTCTTGCCCAAGGACACAACAACAGCAGACATCAGTGGGAGTTGTGAAGTAGGTCTTTTCTTGGGCTTGAACCATAGACTGTATATATTAACGGACAGAGTCACGCCTATCTCCGCCGTTCTAACTAATGGGCCAAAAAATTTGCTCTACTGGAGCAATCCAAAATGGCCACGAGTGGTCCTGCCCACAAGAAAATTGTGAAAAAACGCATCTGTGCATGAGTCAGCCGGCGCAGCTCCATTCATTTGAACGAGAGACTTAAAAAATTCACTGCAAGTAAACTAGAGTGGACCAAAAAAATCCACCCCCCTCAGCATTGACACACATGTGGAACGGAGCTTTGGCCAAGAACCAGCTTTTGGTCCATCCTGTAAAGACGTTTTCGAGAGGTCTGCCAATGCTATATGTTAGCATTGGCTAATTCTACTTCTGGGTCCCCATCGGCCCGGGGTGGTATTGCAAGCATGTCAGCGCACGTCATTTTGGCCACTTTTGAGCTGGGACCCTCCCCCACTGGGTAAGACCCACAACTTTCAGGCCCAAAGGCCAATGCACTACCAACTGAGCCACTGTCTTACCATACCATCGTACGCATTTAATTCCATATGAAATAATAATTGACAAATAATAATTGAGTTTACGGATGGCTAAGACCAGTCTACCACTTCTGTCTTGGTGCTCAACTTTGTTCTTGAATAACTTTTTAGCTATCCTCAGCTCGTTTAACTTCTTTGTGAGCATCATTGTTCTCCTGACTGTTGCCTGTGTAGAAAGTAACCCTTTTCTTATTCATTATCTGTTTTTGGGGTGCCTACAGTTTCTTCTATAGCTTTTCTGGGGCACCTCCTCCTGCTTTTCCCATTAGAAATGACATCAGATTGGATGTTCCACAGCACAGCATCAAACATTCCTAGATTTTCAGTTGCAGACAAACCTCATAGCCATCAACTACTATTCGCCAGAGAAATGGATATTTTAAAATTCCTTTAACACAAAGCAGGCCGCAAACCAAAGTAACAGAAGTACAGTACATAGTTTGGGTTGAAAACAAAGAAGGTTTTAAACTAACATGGCTGCTATTTTGCGCATTATTGCCCCTCTGACACAAGCTAAGGCAATCAAAAAAAATAAAAATAACTATGTAATAAAATCCATATATTCTTTGCTCTCAAAATTGTTCTATTATTTACACTTATATTTGTGTTTTTTTACCTTTATTTAACCAGCAAAGTCTGAGGTTAAAATCTCAAAATCTCTTTCAGGAAGGGGGGGACTATAATACGTTGGAAGAGGGGAGAACATGGGGAGAACATGCAAACTCCAAACAGGAAGGCCCCGTCTGGAGGTGGGATCAAACCCGCAACAGTAGCTGCGTTTCCATTGAATAATGCGCAAAAACTTTTTCGATACATTTCAATATTCGAAAAACCTGTAATTCGCAAAAGCGGCCGTTTCCATTAAGACATATTTGAATAAGTATACACTATTTTCGTGCGTTTATTCACTAGTTTCTAGTACGTCAACATGGCAACAGAAGTAAACAACACTTTGATTTACGTGAGATATATTAATGTCTTGACTTCTGCTGCGGCTCTCATCCTCTCTGACCCCGGGAGAAACTGTGGCTGCTTTGACAGCTCCGCAAACGCGCGTGGTCATGTACCGAGCGCGGACCATAGACGCGCGCACAGAACCAGACACGGGTCTTGCCTGTCTCCCCCGTCTCTCCCCATGCCTCTCCCCCGTCTCTTCCCCGTCTCTCCCCCGTCTCTCCTGTTGTATTTATAAATAGCGTGGTTGACGGACGCGTCAACACACAAGTTAGGTTTAACCCATTGGAGCCTGGGGGAATTTTGGGCCCCCCCGAAAAATGGAGACAGGCATTCAAATCGAGCAGCTCTATAGAGAAATAGAGGCTCAGATTCTGAGTGGTCTGGATAAAAAATATAGGAACAAGGCAAAACGAAAGGCTGTGAAAGCATGGGAAAAAAATACAGAACAAAAGGGTCATACCTGAGTATATGACAGCGTCCGCATTAGCTAAGATTTTGCGGGAAGAGGAAAATAATTTAAAACAGGATAAACTAGACCTTGAGGGAAAGCAGGGAGAGAGTTGGAATGAGCGTAGAAAAATTAAGAAGGAACTAAAAAAGGCTGAGAAACTGAGGACCAAGGTACATAATTTTGCTTTGGCTGCCACGGCGTTGGCAAAATTACCGATGGTAAGTAAAGACAAGGAAACAGAAAACGGAGCAATGCCGGTGAGTAATATATACCCATCCCTACCCACGGCTCCACCAAAATATTCTCTGGGTTTAGAACCAGGTAAGCCAAATCTAATATTGCCACAATATACATTTTCAGGAGAAGTGGCGGTAAGAAAGAGAGGGGACAATGACTTTGTAGACAGGGAATTTGACGAAGGGACAGAAGAGGAGTCTGTGGGGGACAATAGAGATCCGAGTCAAAATCCAGCTGTCAGCCTCCCGCCACAGCTCCCACACACCCCTCACCAACCCCCATCTATTCAAGAGGAGCTCCTGCACTCTCTCAGAAATTTTAGAGCTAGGAAACCGACCTTTGAATGCACCACAGACAGAGTTGAGAGAGAAGAAACCGCAAGTAGGACCCATGATTACGAGACCGCTAGACAGGAGAATGCAAAATTAATTAATAAAGCCGCACGCAGAGCCATGACTAGGACGGACAGTGAGAGTGACAAGGGAGACGGTGCCATGGCCCCACCAGCAATTAAAGCTAAACAGGCTAAAAAAGGAGCTAAATTCTCTTCTGACAGTAGTGATGACGGAGACCAGGAGCCTGGTGAAACTAGACCGGTGGCAAGCAGAACCAGGTCTCAGACAAAATCCATGTTCCCTCTGAGACCAGGACGAGGCGCAGCTGGGGAGTACCATCCTTTTTCTGTAAGTGACATGCAGACTATAAAAGACAAAATGCCTCCATTGTGTCAGGGAGCTGGAAACTGGATTTCCAGTCTCAACACATGGTTTACAGGTCATGATGTCGCGATGGGTGACGTCCGGGCAGTGTTGGCAGCATGCAGTAAACCTTGGGAGAGAGACGCTATTGAAAGACAAGCTGGTACTGCTGATGTTTGTGATTCTTCCAGATTTGGCCAATATGCAAATGCCTTGTATGAAGCACTGAGGGAAAACTTTCCAACTCCGCTGTCTTCTGCCCCTCGTGAGTTAACTTGGCTGGAGTCTGAGGACCCACTTGTATTTTATGACAGGAGTGTGACCAAGTGGATGGACACAGTAGGAAGACACCCTCACAAGGTCAGTGAAGTCATGCCTTTTAGAGCAGCTATTTTGAATGGTTTACCAGAAACAATACGCTCAAAGATTGAAGACAACCCAGATAATATTAACCCGGATTCAGCACAGTGGAAAACAAATTTAATCTTTCACATTAAGCGATATGTTGAAAATAAAACTAAAGAAAGAAAGAGTGTTGAAGATATGACTTGTCAACTTTTGAAGTTACAGCTTAGTGAAGCAAGAAATAAAGCCACCCAAAATAAAAAAGGAACTAGTAATCAGATGACTAATATGCCTGCTGGACCTGCGACTCAACCACGACAGGACTGGACAAGGGGAGGGGCCAGAGGTGGTGGGCGTGGGGGCCGGGGAGGAAGAAGGGGTGGAAGCTGGAGAGGGGGCAGGGATGTGTGTCACCTCTGTTACAGGCACGGTCACTGGGCGAAGGACTGCCCCTTTGAAGGAGAGGCCTCCTACTACCATGGAGCGCCTGAGATGGTGCGTGGGAGGGGCCCCCAGAGAGGCATGGGACCCAGACCAGAGCGCGCAGGCCCTCCCTCCCCATGGACGGCTCCGAATGACAACCTGGCCCCGAGAGATGGACAATATTTCCAGCATGGGAACTACTGGGGCGAGTATGAACATGAACAATCTTACTAGGGCTGCCTAGGAAATCCAGGGGACAAGGTGCTTGCAGAGCCTATGCTTCCCATAAGGGTGGAGGATGACGACCTGATGGCCCTGGTGGACACTGGCGCCACCTACTCTACCATCAATACAAAGATACGCCCTGTCCTGCTCTCTGAGGAGCACATCACCCTGGTTGGATTTTCTGGGACACCTGAGGTACTGCCACTCACTAAACGTTTAAAGACACAAATTGGAACACAGACACTGTGGCATTCTTTTGTAAATGCTCCTAAAACACCTGTCAACCTGCTGGGAAGAGACTTATTGACTAAAACCAATGCGTCAATTCTATGTGGACCGGATGGTCTACAAGTGACTTTTCCAGGGGGGCAAATTTACAGATGTGTGACCGGTGTATCGATGGACTCCTGCTGGCTTCTGAGAGAAGAGATGCCAGACCAGTATGCAGACATATACTGGGTGAGACTGGACCCAGAAAACAAGTCCACGGACAATAATGGTGTGCATTCCGTCTTCTTCAAGTGGAAACCCTGGATAAATTCTTTGGCCTCCTACCACCTCCCACTGGACCCTGCCCACTTGACATTATTCTATGACAGAGACCAAGACTTAATGTACAGAGAACAATTCAAACAAATTGAAAGTGATAGGTGGACATTAGAATCAGATTACATTTATATTGGGCCTGAGGGTGTGGCGGCCCATACACGGCTGCTTCCTGAACAGTGTGAGTGGTATTACATGTCTTCCTCTGCTGTCCCACACATCACCTTGGCTGTACACCCTGGTCACGAGGCTAGAGCTTTAGGTCCAATGGTAAAGAGACTGGTAAAAACTGACGATTGGTCTGACACCCAACTCCCTCATGTGCAGTACAGCATTGAAAATAAGTCATACAGGATAAAAGCAAATATGATAGACACAGGGGAAGTGGAGCACGAAACATTGACCAGACATCATGGTAGACACATGACAGATCATGATGATACTCATGAAATATTGAAACAGGTGCCTGCAGAAGTTTGGTCCCAAGGTCCCACGGACGTGGGGTTGTGCACCTCTTTCCCTCCTGTGTCTTTACAGATGAAGCCAGGAGGCTCCATGATTTGAGAAAAATAAATGATTTAACATTAACTCCGTGTCTCCCGGTCCCAAACCCTTATACAATGCTGTCATCACTGTCACCAGACCTCCAGTATTTTACTGTTATGGATTTGGCTAATGCATTTTTCTGTATTCCCCTGGCAGAGGAAAGCAGAGATTTCTTCTCATTTACTCACAGGGGCCAAAAACTGCGTTACACCCGTCTTCCCCAGGGACATAAATGCTCCCCGGGCATTTTTAATCAGACTTTGAACGCTCTGCTGAGAGAGTTGGTGCTTCCGGAGGGCGTGGTACTCCTACAGTATGTGGACGATCTCCTCCTCACCTCGAGGACGGAGCAGGCCTGTCTACAAGCCACCAGGGACACTATAATCTTCTTACATTCAAAAGGATTTAAGGTCAGTAAGGAAAAGCTACAATGTTGCAGGCCTGCGGTGACCTTCCTGGGACGTAGCGTGTCTGGAGGATCCACAAATATGTCTCCAGAGCACAGAGATGCTATTTTGTCATATCCCAGACCCATCATGGTGGGGGACATGTTGTCCTTCCTGAGTCTGATAGGCTATAGTAGACACTATGTGGCAGATTTTGCAGACAAAACTAAACCTTTAAGAGCTTTAGTTAATGAACATGGCATGAGAAACACAAGGGCTAAACTGAATTGGGACAGAGATAGTGAGGCACAGTTTATCTCACTCAAACAGGACCTATCCTCTGCGGCTCATTTGGCGTCACCAGATTATTCGCTCCAGTTCTATTTAGATGCCACAGTGCAGTCTCAGGTAGCTAACGGGGTGTTATATCAAAAGTGCAGAGGCCAGAGAAAAATCTTACAGTATATTAGCGTTCCATTGGATTCAATCGAGGCTAGACAGGTTGACTGTTCTAGGTATGCTGCAGGAGTGGGACATTTGATTCAAGAAAACAGCACATTTAGTCATGCTCGCTTTAGAAATATTGACTGATCATGGCGTTTGTGCATATGTGTCCTCAGCTGCATTCACTATGTCACCTTTGGACCTCCTGGTCAAATACTGTGAGTAAAGTGCAGCGGTGTTTTGACACTGTTGGGACCGATTTTGGAGACCCTCGCCTCTTTTTCTGAAAGTGCAAGGGGCCAAACAAAAATGGATGCGGACGCCTTATTGAACCAGATACAGAATAAAAAATTCCTGTTCCTCCTTGTTACGTTTAATCTGCTGTTTGAAGTCAGTGACTACGCCACAAAAGGCTTGCAGTCCCCTACACTGTCAGTCACAGATTGCACTGATTTAATCGAAGGACTCAAAGACAATTACACGAAGTTCAGACACAAAAATGCGACATACAATAAAACACTGGCTCTGGCAGATGACCTGATGATTAAACACGACATCAATTGGGACATTGGCGCGTCACGCAAAAGAAAGTTACCTGCCAGGTTAGAGGATTCTCTGGTTGGATCTACTTTGGGCAAGTCCTTCACTGTGCAGACAAATTCAGATCTTCGAAGACTTTGGAACGACACATTGGATAGACAAATAACGGAGTTGAATATCCGCTTCAAGCCTGACACATACGGCTTCATGAAGGCCACCGCTGCCTGCTTGCCACGCACGGACACATTTGGAGACATAGAGACGATCCATCCCGTGTGCACGCATTTCTCCATCCACTTGAACGGAGCAGAGCACACTGTCTTTGTGCAGCACATTCAAAGAAAAATGAATGAAACTGGACATAAGTTTCCCACACTCATTGAAGTTCTTGATTCGTGTCCATTCGTGACATATTCCCTGTCATGAATAGTCTCCTGCGAGCGCTGCTCACTCTGCCGATGACCACATGTACGGCGGAGAGACTCTTTTCCACCGTCAACCGAATAAAGACAAGCACCAGGGCGACGATGCTGACAGAAAGACTTAACTCTCTGTCCCTTTTGTCTTTTGAAAGAGAATTAACGGAGAACATAGATTACAAGGAAATACTCGCTGTCTTCAATCAAAAGTCACGCCGCCTGCTCTTGTAAATTAGATTTAAGATTATGTACTGTTCCTTGTACATGCATTTGATTTTGTAATTTTCAAATAAACTGTGTATTATTTAGTCTATTTAATTCTCCTTCAGGACCAGGGCCAGCGACGCTAAATCTGTGGCGCCGCGTTTGCACCATATTCTTTGTATCCCCACTACAAACACCCCTTGTAGTTTGCGAGCGAATTAGGCCTACTTACTAATCTGCAGGCCTACCCATAACTGCAAACCTGGCGCCGCTACTGCTTTTGTGGAGGAGGAAACATCAAACATCAAAGGGCGCACGCGGGGAACAGCGGGACTTGTCTTGTTGTTGAAGTCCCGATGTTCCCCCACTTCTATAGGCGGGGGAACATCGGACCCGGGGAACATCGGGACTTTTTAATACGCGAAGTACCGATGATCCCCGGGTCCGATGTTCCCCCGCCTATATAAGTGGGGGAACTTCGGACCCGGGGAACATCGGACCCGGGGAACATCGGTACGCACCCAGACAGTTGTGTTTCTGCTGAACACTGGGTTGAAACTTGATTTTTTTTCTTGGTTAGAGATTGAAAGCATTCATTTCGGAATCATAATTGATGTTCGCTGACGTGAAATTGTTCTGGTATCGACTCGTCCGGTTAGAACCAGGGCCAAACCATTGATAAAAAGTACCGGGGAGCGGTTGAAGCGAGCGGTAGAAGCGCCCGCAAACCGGGGAGAGTCGAGTCCAGCCATTTAGTACTGTACGAGTCAATTTCTGTCATTATCATGTTGATGACATTTACAATACATCTGTCTGAGCAGAGCACACCTCTCTCTGCTCAGACAGGTTGCATGTGTGTGTGTGTGTGAGCGTGTCTGCTCGTGTGCGTACGTGCGCGTGTGTAAGGGTTGGGGTGATGTTTATGTAGTGCACATTTGTATGATGTGGCTCTTTGCTGTAACACGGTAAAAAAAATTGGCTCTTAGTCTCTGACTGGTTGGCCACCCCTGTCTTATCACTTTAAGTTATAGCCTTTTGAAATTAAGATGTCACAATGGAGTGATTTGGAAAAAACCTCTGGCGCTTAAAGGGTTAACAACAAGCATAATGTTCTTAAAAACAATTACATTTGTGTTTTGTTTCAACAATTCATGTAGTGCCAATTATAGATAAATAAATTATTATTATTATTATATACATAAATATTAACTGTTAAAAATCATCTTCAGGAGAAAACTGTAAAGTCTTTGAATAATATGAAGGACATGAATCACAATCAATCACAGAATCAAATCACAAAACTGTCGAATATTGTAAGAATCTCAATAATATTGAATTGTGACAAATATCACTGTTAAAAGTCTGTTACTACATTTCCCATGATGCACCTGTTAATATTGTAGTTCCCCAGGGTCTCCCGTAGCCATGTTCAGAGCTGTTCTTTACAGTGTTAGGGGCGGAGCCTGTGCGCGTGCGTCATGCCAACCATCAATAATCCTGTGTGTATAAGTTCTGTGTGCGTCTATGCAAAGTGAGTACCATGTGCCAATCTATATTTATGCTCCATTTATATACTTTAATGTCCGCTTCCTCCTTGTAGCTACAACACGTGGTGCGCCACGTGCATGACTGTAGGAGCACTCCATAATAAGCCCTGCTATATGTGGATAATGTACATATGTGTGTCTGTGTGTGTATAGTTTAGAACAGCCCGTTTCTGCTACACATATAGTTTGCCTTTTCATTATAAAGTTCCACGTAACACCATTTAGAGTTAGAGCGCCCCCTTGTGGGCTACGGTTGTAATGTCACTCATTGATTACAGTGTATCTGTGTTCATAGTCTAAAAGGCTGTTTTTAATAAACATAAACAAAAATAAACAACACAATAATTTTGAATCCTCTTATATTTATTCAGATTCAGTGTCTGCTTTACAGGCTATATCTGCTGGCCTGTCTGGGGCCCGAGCCGATATAATCTTGGAGATGTTGTGTTGCCTCCGTCGGCTTGAAGCAAGGGGATCTAGTGTAGTATTTCGCTGGATCCCATCTCATTCAGGTATAGTGGGGAATGAGAGAGCTGATACACTGGCTAAGCAGTCTCTTCTGTGTGAGGAAATAGAGTATAACATCTGTTTGGGAAAATTAGAGTGTATAAGTATCATAAAAAGTGTTGTGCAAAATCAGTGGCAAAGAGTGTGTGAGAAAGAGAAAAGGGGGAGGCATTATTTTAATTCTCAGCCTCTTGTGCAAAATATTAGGCCTGTGTGGATATCTAGCCGGGCAAATCAGGTAAAGATTGTTAGATTGAGGCTGGGGCATTGTGGGCTAGCAGCATATTTGGAAATCATTGGCAAGCATCGTGATGGATTATGTCAGTGTGGTCAACCTGAAACGGTGCCTCATGTGTTATTGTTTTTGTGCTCTATACTCAACAGAAAGACAGATTATGTACAAGCAGCTGTCAGATCTTGGATTAGCAGTATTTTCATTAAAATCTATTGTAGCGTCCAGTTGAGAGTATAGTTGAAGCCAGAACTGATGGTTAAAATGAAGTTTATTTTGTCCTTCCATATATTCATATAACCAACGTAAGAGCTAGAACAGAAATGAAAATCAACTTACAATCATGTCCAAATACTATCTAGCATCAATTACATTGTAAACCGTTATATCACAATTACTATTATTTTACACAAAGAAACAATTGTTACACAAATAAAATCAATCCATACCTTGTTCCCTCTATCTCAACTGTTGCTAAACTTTGTTGTTGTTTCTTTTATACCATATTGGCTCTGTTTCCTCTTTAGACCATTGACTACTAGACCGTCTGTTTGTTTGTAACGTCCATACACTGTAACGTTTCTCCGTCTGATGTTGCGCGAGCCACTTGACTTCCGGTTGAGACAGGAAGCGTCAAAATAAAACATTTTCTATCAATAATAAAACATCAACCTTTACATAAAGTATAGAACAACTCTATACTTCTCTATATTTTTTTTTGGTTAATAAAAAAGCAAGACCGGTCCAGAACCAGATGTTTTTTATTGCATCGTAGGTCACAGGAGGTCACAGGAGGTCACAGGAGGTCACAGGAGGTCACAGGAGGTCACACAGGAGGTCACAGAGGTCACAAACTAGGAATCTCTTTGGCTCCAGGTGCAGAGAAGTCGTTAGAGTAAAAAGGTAAAGGCAGCATAAAGAGGCGTCGATAAACCAGATTATTAACGCCATAATCCAGCCTCAGGTCTACCCCAGACTTACCCCAGGTCCAGGTATCACAGGTACAGGACATCAGCTGCAGTCTTTGCCTCAGCATCAGCCCCTCCCCCTGCCCTCCTAACCTGACTGACCTGGGCTTGCTCTCCCCCCTCTCCCCCTCTCACTCCCCCCTCTTCCCCCCTGGCTCTCCTGCAGGTCCTGGCCTCCCTGACGCCCTCCTCCGCCTCGCGCAGTAACGCCCCCCCTCCTGTGCCTCTCCCGCAGAGCTACGAACCCGACGAGCTGACGGAGGAGATGGCCCAACCTGGAGGGCCTCATGAAAGACCTGAACGCAATCACCACCGCGCCCTAGGGACCCCGCCCCACCCCACCCCAACTCAGCACCCTGAGGACCTCACCCCGCCCTCGCCACAGCACCCTAAGGACCCCACCCCGCCCTCGCCACAGCACCCAAAGGACCCCACCCCGCCCTCGCCACAGCACCCTAAGGACCCCACCCCGCCCTCGCCACAGCACCCTAAGGACCCCACCCCGCCCTCCGCCACAGCACCCTAGGGACACAACTGATTGTTCCGGCTGTTTTAACACTTTCACCAGATTAGAAACACAAGATCTGCTACTAGCTTCTCAACCTGCCCTGGTCCTGTCTCCCCTGGTCCTGTCTCCCCTGGTCTCTCACCTGGTCTCTCACCTGGTCTCTCACCTGGTCTCTCACCTGGTCTCTCACCTGGTCTCTCACCTGGTCTCTCCCCTGGTCCTGTCTCCCCTGGTCTCTCCCCTGGTCTCTCCCCTGGTCTCTCACCTGGTCTCTCCCCTGGTCTCTCACCTGGTCTCTCACCTGGTCTCTCTCCTGGTCTCTCCCCTGGTCTCTCCCCTGGTCTCTCACCTGGTCTCTCCCCTGGTCTCTCCCCTGGTCTCTCACCTGGTCTCTCCCCTGGTCTCTCCCCTGGTCTCTCCCCTGGTCTCTCACCTGGTCTCTCTCCTGGTCTCTCCCCCTGGTCTCTCACCTGGTCTCTCCCTGGTCTCTCACCTGGTCTCTCACCTGGTCTCTCCCCTGGTCTCTCACCTGGTCTCTCTCCTGGTCTCTCCCCTGGTCTCTCCCCTGGTCTCTCACCTGGTCTCTCCCCTGGTCTCTCCCCTGGTCTCTCACCTGGTCTCTCCCCTGGTCTCTCCCCTGGTCTCTCCCCTGGTCTCTCACCTGGTCTCTCTCCTGGTCTCTCCCCTGGTCTCTCACCTGGTCTCTCCCCTGGTCTCTCACCTGGTCTCTCACCTGGTCTCTCCCCTGGTCTCTCACCTGGTCTCTCTCCCCTGGTCCTCTCACCTGGTCTCTCACCTGGTCTCTCCACTGGTCTCTCCCCTGGTCTCTCACCTGGTCTCTCCCTGGTCTCTCACCTGGTCTCTCACCTGGTCTCTCCCCTGGTCTCTCCCCTGGTCTAGTACCATTCAATCCAAACGGGGGGAAAACAAAAAGATGCAACTGTGATTTCCGTGGACACAAAATGGCGTCTTGTGCCCGAGAAGCATTCACGTCCCCCAGCAACAAACTGCTTTCTTTCTTCTACAAGTACCTTTTCTCAGGACGGACGCAGCCAATCAGAGGAAGGGCAGTCACGGCCAGACACCGGAGCACGCCGTCCATGTGGATGGAACTCTTTGGGACCAGATTGTGAACTTTGTTGTTTTTAGGACGGACACAGAATGACTCCTCTGCTCTGAGCGTGTTCATGGTTCTGTTCATGGTTCTGTTCATGGTTCTGTTCATGGTTCTGTTCACCTGTATGTATTCTGTATTCTTTTATTTTTTACACCTGTATCCGTATCTACATGTACATATGTTATTTTTATTCTGTCGTTTGATGGTTCAGAAGTTTACTCAAATTGTAACACAAAAATGCTGGTGCGAGGCCACGCGGAAAAGTCACTGATGTCATATGTTCATAACCCTTTAGCATTAGGCAAGGTTATTGGTATAGCACAGTCCACCCACGGCAACTCACAAGACAAGGCTTTAAATCAGAAAGTCAGGATTAAATCTGTTTTTTAACCTGGATTTGAATATTGCCCGTCTCACGATTTCTGGAAGACTGTTTTTAGCTGCATAAATCTGAAACACTGCCTCCCCATGTTTAGTCCTGACTCTGGGACCAGCAGGAGACCAGTCCCTGTGCTCCTCAGAGTCCCAGCAGGAGACCAGTCCCTGTGCTCCTCAGAGTCCCAGCAGGAGGCCAGTCCCTGTGCTCCTCAGAGTCCCAGCAGGAGACCAGTCCCTGTGCTCCTCAGTCTTAGCAGGAGGCCAGTCCCTGTGCTCCTCAGAGTCCCAGCAGGAGACCAGTCCCTGTGCTCCTCAGAGTCCCAGCAGGAGGCCAGTCCCTGTGCTCCTCAGAGTCCCAGCAGGAGACCAGTCCCTGTGCTCCTCAGAGTCCCAGCAGGAGACCAGTCCCTGTGCTCCTCAGAGTCCCAGCAGGAGACCAGTCCCTGTGCTCCTCAGTCTTAGCAGGAGGCCAGTCCCTGTGCTCCTCAGAGTCCCAGCAGGAGGCCAGTCCCTGTGCTCCTCAGAGTCACAGCAGGAGGCCAGTCCCTGTGCTCCTCAGAGTCACAGCAGGAGGCCAGTCCCTGTACTCCTCAGAGTTCCACTTGGTTTCTTATAGCACTAACATTTGGTGCGAGACTTAAAGCTGTGGTCTCTATTTTCAAAGCTCATGTAAAAATCTAATTCTTATTTCTGTCTGAGCCCAAAGGGTCAAATAGTGACTCACAGGGACTGTTGGATCACGTCAGCACAATGACCTGGGGAGATGACGTCGGATTTATCCACAATAAACACATTTCTCACACTTTTTCTATCGCGACAAACAACAATTTCAGTCTCGAAACAAAACTTTAGGTTCAGCAGCTTAAGTTTCTAATAAATAATGTTTAACTGTTTTTCATCACAACAATTCTATTCTATGTTTTTAGCCTCGTCAAAGGACTTTACCAAGTTGTCAATTCGTCGACACGGATCAGAAAATCAAACAGACACAGTGGTCTCTCTCTGGTCTCTCTCTGGTGTCTCTGTCTCTCTCTCTGGTCTCTCTGGTCTCTCTGGTCTCTCTCTCTGGTCTCTCTCTGGTCTCTCTCTGGTCTCTCTCTGGTCTCCTCTCTCTGGTCTCTCTGTGGTCTCTCTCTCTGGTCTCTCTCTGGCCTCTCTCTCTGGTGTCTCTCTGGTCTCTCTCTGGCCTCTCTCTGGTCTCTCTCTCTGGTCTCTCTCTCTGGTCTCTCTGTGGTCTCTCTCTCTGGTCTCTCTCTCTGGTCTCTCTCTGGTCTCTCTTTGGTCTCTCTCTCTGGTCTGTCTCTGGTCTGTCTCTGGTCTCTCTCTGGCCTCTCTCTGGTCCCTCTCTGGTCTCTCTCTGGTCTGTCTCTGGTCTCTCTCCCAGTCCTGTCTCCGGTCTCTCTCTCCTATCTCCGGTCTCTCTCTGGTCTCTCTCTGGTCCTCTCTCTTGTCTCTCTCAGGTCTCTCTCTGGTCTAATCTGGTCTCTCTCTGGTCTCTCTCTGGTCTCTCTCAGGTCTCTCTCTCAGGTCTCTCTCTGGTCCTCTCTCAGGTCTCTCTCAGGTCTCTCTCAGGTCTCTCTCAGGTCTCTCTCTGGTCTCTCTCTGGTCTCTCTCTGGTCTCTCTCTGGTCTCTCTCTGGTCTCTGTCTGGTCTCTCTGGTCTCTCTCTGGTCTCTCTCTGGTCTCTCTGGTCTCTCTCTGGTCTCTCTCTGGTCTCTCTCAGGTCTCTCTCTGGTCTCTCTGGTCTCTCTCTCTGGTCTCTCTCTGGTCTCTCTCTGGTCTCTCTCTGGTTTCTCTCTGGTCCTCTCTCTCTGGTCTCTCTCTCTGGTCTCTCTCTGGTCTCTCTCTGGTCTCTCTCTCTGGTCTCTCTCTCTGGTCTCTCTCTGGTCTCTCTCTCTGGTCTCTCTCTGGTCTCTCTCTGGTCTCTGTGGTCTCTCTCTCTGGTCTCTCTCTGGTCTCTCTCTCTGGTCTCTCTCTGGTCTCTCTCTGGTCTCTCTCACTGTCTCTCTCTGGTCTCTCTCTGGTCTCTCTCTCTGGTCTCTCTCTGTCTCTCTCTCTGGTCTCTCTCTCTGGTCTCTCTCTGGTCTCTCTCTGGTCTCTCTCTCTCTGGTCTCTCTCTCTGGTCTCTCTCGTGGTCTCTCTCTCGGTCTCTCTCTGGTCTCTCTCTGGTCTCTGTGGTCTCTCTCTCTGGTCTCTCTCTGGTCTCTCTCTCTGGTCTCTCTCTGGTCTCTCTCTGGTCTCTCTCTCTGGTCTCTCTCTGGTCTCCCTCTGGTCTCTCTCCATAGTCCTCCCACCTCCTCATCATGATTCGCTTACACTGTTCTACCTTGATAGGCCGGAGCAGGTCCATCCTCCCACCCCTTCAGCATGATTCGCAGTTAGTACGCCGTCCCCTTAACATGGGAGGGACCGGCTATCACTGATTGTTTTAGAATAAACATGGTGTAATCATACACAGGTCTTACGCAGAGCTCTGTTCAATAATAAAACATCTTAAGCCTTAGATAACGGTGAAGCATTTGTTTTACCACACACACACAGGGTCAACCAGAGGACAACTCATTAGGTATTCAAAGTGACACCTCTTGGAAAATACGGTGCAGTACCACCTTTCACCACTTGCTCAATAGCGGCCCCCTTAGTATCTACTGTGGCAAGATAAATGGGATAGTGGAGATAAAGGGAGGGGGTATTATAGTATAAATTCGGAAGTTGGTCAAGGTTGCCGGGTAGGAAGGTGTCAAAGAGAAGAGGCAGCCTTTACTAGAATGAGATTAGGGCACACCGGATTGAACAAAACATTACATTTAATAGGAAAACATAATTCTGGAAACTGCGAGATGTGCAATGTGCCGGAAACAGTGGAACATGCTGTCATGATGTGTCGGAAGTTTAATAGAGAAAGGGGTGTAATTAAAGGGAAGATAGAAGACTGTGGGGAAAGGTTTACCTTTAGAGATATTTTTTCTAAACCTCAAATCATAGGGTAATAAAGTGTTTGTTCGAATTTCTAAAGCATACCGGGCTCATGGATAGAGTGTAGTTTTTGGTTTTGGTTTTGGTTTTTTTCTCTGTAGCTTGCAGGCTACAGGTTTTTATAAAGGATGTGAGCCATATGGTTGATCAGACGCAATCTATCTGGAGGGTGGCGGTAGTGCGCTAAGTCAGTTCGCATCCGCGAACCGTGAGAGACACGCGTCCTAGACGCCAACACACTGCATCCAGCGGACCTTGCACAGGGCAAGTTTTGGCCGCTACATTGTCGAAAGATAGCCTCAGGTACCGTCTCCAAGTGTATCTGTCTGCGGCCTGCAGTACGGAGGCGTGTCGTGTAGTAGGCGTGTCGTGTAGTGACGTCACGACACGCCCACTCCACGTTTCTTAAAGGGGTATGAGCAAGGATCTATTATAATACGGGTATGAGTAGTAGTAAGTACCTACTATCTATGCCCAACAATGAATTTATGTGCAATAATGAATTTTATGGTGCATGTCATTGTCATCATTTTTTATTGGGGGAAAAT